CGGCGGGGCGACACGGCGCCCTAACCACTGAGCCGCAACCGGCCGGACACGGCGCCCTAACCACCGGGCCACACCGGCCGGACACGGCGCTCTAACCACGGGCCAGCGGGCGGGGCGGACACGGCGCTCTAACCACTGAGCCGCACCGGCCGGGCGGGCGGCGGGGCGGACACGGCGCCCTAACCACTGAGCCGCACCGGTTCATTTTCCCTGAGCCTCTTCCCTGACATGGCGCCTTCCCAGACCCCAAACCCACCCCTGACCTCCCCGCGGAAACCGCAGAAGGGGCGTGTGCCCCCCTGTGAGCGATGGGGAGGCCGCCGAGCTACGACCTTGGTGCCTCGGGCAAGGGCGCCCGCGGCCCTCCGGTCCCGGGAGGATTTCACTTAGCGGCGGCCGCGGCGGGCGCTGGTGACGCGGGCGGCGGTGTCTGTGTCCGGTAAGCCGAGCCCGCAGCCGGAGCCTGCTGCGGCCCCCGGGGACGGATAACCAGATTTTCTCCTTTTTCCCTTCTTTTTCCAGACTGCCAGGATGTGTGTGCGGCGCCGACAGGTTCATCCTCCCCTCCCTCCCTCCCTCCTTCCCCCCCCTCCCTCCCCCTCCCTCCCCCCCTCTCTCCCTCCTCCTCCTCCTCCTCCCCCTCCTTCCTCCACCACCGCATCCTCCGGCCCCAGTTGGTCCAGAAAAATCATAAGCGTTGCCCATGTCGACGTGGTGACCCTGAGGTTTTGGGGGGAAATGTGCCACCGGTCCACAGGGTGAGATTTTTAATCGTTTTATCTACGGACACAGGCCGGGTGAGGGCCGGGTGAGGGCTCAGTGGATAGAGCGTCGGCCTGGGGAGCAAAGGGCCCCGGGTTCGATTCCGTCAAGGGCGGTCGGTCCGCGGTTCGGCCGTTGAGTTGATTTCCATAGTGTGCTTTTTTTTTATTATGTTAGATTAGAGGCCTAAGGGCACAAAATTCATGCATGGGGGGGGCGGGGGAGGGGAGGGGAGGGGTGTGTCCCTCAGCCCAGCCTGCACCCTTCTCCCATCTGGGACCCTGGAGGGATGCCTGAGTGCCGGTTTAGGCCTGATCCCACCTAAACAGGAGGTCAGACATCCCTCGCACAATCCTGGACCACTGGCTCCGAACCACTCACCTGCCTGCCGGCCTGCCTAATGCCCCCAACTGCCCTCCCCTGCTGGCCTGATCGCCCCTAACCCCCTGCCAGCCAGCCTGTCTCACCCCCTCACTGCCTCTGCCAGCCTGATCGCCCCCAACTGCCCTCCCCTGCCGGCCTGATCGCCCCTAACCCCCTGCCAGCCAGCCTGTCTCACCCCTCACTGCCTCTGCCAGCCTATCTCACCCTAACTGCCCCTGCCAGCCTGATCGCCCTAACTGCCCTCCCCTGCCGGCCTGATCGCCCCTAACCCCCCGCCAGCCTGTATCAACCCTAACTGCCTCTGCCAGCCTATCTCACCCCTAACTGCCTCTGCCAGTCTGATCGCCCCTAACTGCCCTCCCCTGCCAGCCTGATCGCCCCTAACCCCCTGCCAGCCAGCCTGTCTCACCCCTCACTGCCTCTGCCAGCCTGATTGCCCCCCAACTGCCCTCCCCTGCCGGCCTGATCGCCCCTAACCCCCTGCCAGCCAGCCTGTCTCACCCCTCACTGCCTCTGCCAGCCTGATCGCCCCCCAACTGCCCTCCCCTGCCGGCCTGATCGCCCTAACCCCCTGCCAGCCAGCCTGTCTCACCCCCTCACTGCCTCTGCCAGCCTGATTGCCCCCAACTGCCCTCCCCTGCCGGCCTGATCGCCCCTAACCCCTGCCAGCCCAGCCTGTCTCACCCCTCACTGCCTCTGCCAGCCTATCTCACCCCTAACTGCCCCTGCCAGCCTGATCGCCCCTAACTGCCCTCCCCTGCCAGCCTGATCGCCCCTAACCCCCTGCCAGCCAGCCTGTCTCACCCCTCACTGCCTCTGCCAGCCTGATCGCCCCCAACTGCCCTCCCCTGCCGGCCTGATCGCCCCTAACCCCCTGCCAGCCAGCCTGTCTCACCCCTCACTGCCTCTGCCAGCCTATCTCACCCCTAACTGCCCCTGCCAGCCTGATCGCCCCCAACTGCCCTCCCCTGCCGGCCTGATCGCCCCCTCACTGCCTCTGCCAGCCTGATCGCCCCCAACTGCCCTCCCCTGCCGGCCTGATCACCCCTAACCCCTGCCAGCCAGCCTGTCTCACCCCTAACTGCCTCTGCCAGCCTATCTCACCCCTACTGCCCCTGCCAGCCTGATCGCCCCTAACTGCCCTCCCCTGCCAGCCTGATCGCCCCTAACCCCCTGCCAGCCTGTCTCACCCCTAACTGCCTCTGCCAGCCTGATCGCCCCCAACTGCCCTCCCCTGCCAGCCTGATCGCCCCTAACCCCTGCCAGCCAGCCTGTATCAACCCTAACTGCCTCTGCCAGCCTGATAGCCCCCAACTGCCCTCCCCTGCCGGCCTGATCGCCCCTAACCCCCTGCCAGCCAGCCTGTCTCACCCCTCACTGCCTCTGCCAGCCTGATAGCCCCCAACTGCCCTCCCCTGCCGGCCTGATCGCCCCCTAACCCCCTGCCAGCCAGCCTGTCTCACCCCTCACTGCCTCTGCCATCCTATCTCACCCCTAACTGCCTCTGCCAGTCTGATCGCCCCTAACTGCCCTCCCCTGCCGGCCTGATCGCCCCCAACTGCCCCTGCCAGCCTGATCGCCCCTAACTGCCCTCCCCTGCCGGCCTGATCGCCCCTAACCCCCTGCCAGCCTGTCTCAACCCTAACTGCCTCTGCCAGTCTGATCGCCCCCAACTGCCCCTGCCAGCCTGATCGCCCCCTAACTGCCCTCCCCTGCTGGCCTGATCGCCCCTAACCCCCCTGCCAGCCAGCCTATCTCGCCCCTAACTGCCTCTGCCAGCCTGATCGCCCCTAACTGCCCTCCCCTGCCGGCCTGATCGCCCCTAACTGCCCTCCCCTGCCGGCCTGATCGCCCCCAACTGCCCCTGCCGGCCTGATCGCCCCTAACTGCCTCTGCCTTGGCCCCCACCACCATGGCTTTGTCCAGAAGGAAGTCGGAAGGCACACTGGTTGGGGCTCAGCCTTTTTCTTGAGAGCAAACGGGGGGAACAAGCTATGCTTGTGCCTTGTGCCCCCCCCCCCCCCCCGCCGGCGTTTTGTGGGCACCCCCGTCGTCGTCATGGTAACCGGGTTGTGGACGGTCCCAGATGTGAATCCCGGGAGATGCCTCCATCCCCTGGTCACGCCCACCACCTGGGGTGCTGGCCTGAGTCTGCTGCTGCCCCCACCTTAACATTCACATTCCTGACAAACATGCATGTTCAGCCGAAACCGGTGTGGCTCAGTGGATAGAGCGTCGGCCTGCGGACTGAAAGGTCCCGGGTTCGATTCCGGTCAAGGGCATGGACCTTGGTTGCGGGCACATCCCCAGTAGGGGGGGCTGTGCAGGAGGCAGCTGGTCGATGTTTCTAACTTTCTATCCCTCTCTCTTCCTCTCTGTAAAAAATTAATAAAATATAAAATAAAAACATGCATATTCATGAGTTGCATGCATATTCATGAGTTGTATGCATATTCGTGAGCTGCAGGCATATGCATGAGATGCGTGCATATTCATGTCTGGCCTCTGGCCTCTCCCTGCCCAGCCCCAGCTGCAGGCAGTCCTGCTCTGGCAAGAAAGAGGGAGCAGCTGGCAGCCCGTCTAGAAACTTCCGGACACCTCCTCCGGTGCCCTGCTCATCCTCAGGGGCCATGACCCCCTCCAGGGCGTCCCCGCGCCCCCGAGGCCCCCGGAGAAATGCCAGCCAGCCCTACCTGTGCCCGGAGTCCCTGCTGCTCAGGTGAGCCGGGCAGTGCCCATGGGGGGGCCGGGGTGTGAGGGTGGGGGTAGGGGGGGTGCAGGGCAGGGCTGGCTCCCATCGGACCTGAGGGCCGAGTCCCCATCCTGCTCAGGCAGACACCCCTCCCCCAGGGGCCTGGTACCTGCCCCGGGGGCAGCCTCTGCAGGTGCAGGGGGGCAGGGGGAGGGGGATGGCACTGCCCTCTCGCCCTCTTCCTAGCCAGGGGCCCGGATCCTCACCCCCCTGCAACCCCCCCCTCCCCGGCTCCCCACCGGCCAGGCCACGGGCGCCCGGGGTCCCTCCCCGGAGCTCAGGCGGGAGATAATCATCACATCTGTCTTCATAAGCCGCGGTGTCCGCCGGCGGGGCCTGCCGGGCGGCTGAGGTCTTGCGCACTTGTCTAACGTGTGCAGGGTGGGTGAGCACCGGCCTGCAGACCGCAGGGTCCTGGGTTCCATTCCTGATCAAGGGCATGGACCTCGGCGGCAGGCTCCGCTCTGGCCCCCGGGCCCTGGTCGGGGGCAAGGGAGGGGGCAGAGGGTCGTGCAGGAGGCAGCCCATCGATGTGTCTCTCTCCCATCGACGTTCCTCTCTGCCTCTCCCTCCCTCCCTCTCTCTCTTTCTCTCTCTGAAAGTCAGTGGGAATGAACAGGAATAGCGACAATGAAATAACAGTCAAGCAGGTCCCTGAGGGGACAGCCCTGGCGGAGGGCGCCGATGCCACCCGAGAGGGGCCCCCAGGGGCGCCACCGGGCGTTCCCGGGGTGGCGCTGCCGCTCGGGGGAAATGAATTCTCCCAAAGAGCCGTGGTCCCGAGATGCTGGCCCTCCTGCGCTCCTCGTCTGCCTCCCCGAGGTCAGGTTTCCGATGGGCCCAGGCAGGATGGCAGCGAGGGGCGTCTCCGGGGCCAGCGTTTGGTTTCTAGTCACTTTATTTATTTTATTTATTTTATTTTATGTCATTGTTCGCGACACAAGGAGCGGCCAGGTTGTTAGGATCGCTGAACGCCTCATCATCTGGCCCCTCCGTGCGTGTGCGTGTGTGTGTGTGTGTGTGTGTGTGTGTGTGTGTGTAGGCCCGGTGCATGCATTCGTGCACGGGTGGGGTCCGGACAGCCTGGCCAGGGGGAGGGGACATGGGCGGTTGGCCGGCCTGCCTGCTGGTCGGACTCCTGGTCGAGGGGACCATGTGCACATGAGCCTTTTATTCTACAGGACAGACACGGAGTGGCCAGAGTATTATGTGTTCAGAGACCATCATCATCTGGCCGCTCAGTGTTTTTCTGGACGTCAGAGAGGAAGGGGGAGGGAGAAACGTCCACAATGAGGGAGAATTAGGGACCGGCTGCCTCCCGCACGCCCCACCCCTGGGGATGTGCCCGCCACCCGGGCCTGGGGCCCGACGGGAATCGAACCCTGACCTCCTGGCGCCTGGGGGGACGCTGGGCCACGGGGCCCGAGGCCGGGTTCTGTGTTTCCCGCCAGAGCTGGGCGGCCGGGGCTGGGAGAGGCGGTGGGGCCAGCGAAGGTGCTGCCCGGCCCCTCTCATGGCGCCTCCTGGGGATGGCTCCTCCCAGATGGGGGCCCTTCCTGGCTGCAGGCGCTCCCTCCCCTTCTCCTGCCCCCCTCCTTCCTCTCCCTCCTCCCCCTCCCTTTCCCCTCCCTCCTCCCCCTCCCTTTCCCCTCCCTCCGCTCCCCTTCCCTCCCTCCTCCCTCTCCTTCCTTCTCCTCCCTCCCTCTCCCCTCTCCTCTCCCTCCTCCTTCCCCTCCCTTCTCCCCCCTCCCTCCCTCCTCCCTCTCCTTTTCCCCTCCCTCCTCCCCCTCCCCTCTTCCCTCCCCTCCTTCCCCTCTTCCCTCTCCTCCCTCCCCTCCCTCCCCCTCCCTCTTCTCCTTTCTCTTCCCTCCTCTCCCCCCTCCCCTCCCTGCTCTCCCCTTCACTCCCTCCTCCCTCTCTTCCCTCCCCTTCCTCCCCTCCCTCCTCTCCTCTTCTCCTTTCTCCTCCCTCCCCCTCCCTCCCCCTCCCTCCTCCCTCTCCTTCCTTCTCCTCCCTCCCCCTCCCTCCTCCCTCTCCTTCCTTCTCCTCCCTCCCCCTCCCTCCTCCCTCTCCTTCCTTCTCCTCCCTCCCCTCCCTCCCCTTTCCCCTCTCCTCCTCCCCCTCCCTCCCTGGGGCAGGCTGCACAGACCCCGCAGCGCCCCTGCCGGGCCGAGGGGCGCGGTGCAGCCCCTGACCCCCTCCCCTCCCTCCTCCGTGCAGGGAGGAGGGGCTGCCGGCGGACGTGGGGGACAGCAGCGACCCCGAGCGCATCTTCCAGAGCCTGCAGTCCCAGAAGGACCTCATGGCCAACATCCGCTGCCGGCCCTGGGCCATGCGCCAGAAGCTGCGGGCGCTCCGGTGAGGCTGGGGCGGTCGGACGGACGGTCGGACGGGCTGTGATGGGGCGGGGCTGTGATGGACGGCTGGAGGCAGACCCTGTGCCAGGGGCAGGCAGAGCCTCCGGGTATTTTTATGGATTTCAGGGAGGAAGGGAGAGGAAGAAAGAGGGAGAGAGAGAGGGAAATACCCTCAGGTGAGACATTTTTTAAAAATAACAGCACTGCCGAAACCGGTGTGGCTCAGTGGATAGAGCGTTGGCCTGAAGGGTCCCGGGTTCGATCCCGGCCAAGGGCATGGACCTTGGTTGCGGGCACATCCCCGATGGGGGGGGGGTGCAGGAGGCAGCTGATGGATGATTCTCTCTCGTTGGTGTTTCTGATTCTCCCTTCCCCCCTGTGAAAAATCAATATATTAAAAAAAAATAACAACACACACACACACACACACACACAAAAACAAAACAAAAAAAAAACACAGAAAAAAAATCCTTTGTCCCCACAAGTCCGCCCCCCCTCACCGGGGGAAGCTAAGGCAGCCGGACCTGACCCCTGACCCCTGACAGCGGGGACCAGAGGGGAGCGGGGGTCGGTCTGCGTCTGGGGCAGCGGCCCGGTTGGGGGGCTGTCCCCCACATCTCTGAGCCTGTGGTCAGTCCCCGGAGGGGCACTGGTCCCCGCTCCCCAGGGAGACCCCTCTGTCCGCTCACCCTCCTCCCAGCTCTCGCCACATCCTCTCTCTCTCTCTCTCTCTCTCTCTCTCTGTCTCTCTCTCTCTCTCTCTCTCTCTCTCGCTGGCTCGCTCTCCTCCCTGATGGCTCCTGGGCCCTCCGAGGGGTGTGCCAGGCGTGTGTGGGTGTGCACACACCCCCCTCTCCCTGCCCGGCATTAGGCTGATGGCGCCTTTTTGCCTTTTTCCCGAAGGAGGTGCTCTGAGTGCAGGGGGGGGCGGGTGGGAAAGGCCGGGGAGGGGCCGAGGCCCGGTCTGCTTCCAGGAATTCCAGAGGAGTGAGCTCGGATGGCCCCCACGGGAACGCACCCCCCAGCCCAGAGCACACTCCCTCGGGGTGTGGCACCAACGTTGGCTGCAAGGTCAGTAAGGGGCGTGAGCAGGGAAGCTGGGACCCACCCCAAGGGCTCTGACAGGGCGTGTGTGGTCCTGGTGTCCACATCAGGGGACGGGTGTTAGCCGGACCTACTGTGTGTTAGCGGGACATACTGTGTGTTCCCGTTACAGCACTCAAACCTGCAGAGTTTCTGTGAGTGTCCATGGACAACTGCCGGGAAGCAGAGCCTCCACGGGTGGGGATGAGGCTCCGAAGAAAGAGGGTTCCATCTGTGTTTACACACTGCCATCAGAGGAGGGCTCACTGGATAGAGCGCTGGCCTTCGGACTGTAAGGTCCCGGGTTCGATTCCGGTCAAGGGCATGGACCTTGGTTGCGGGCACATCCCCAGTGGGGGGTGTGCGGGAGGCAGCTGATGGATGTTTCTCTCTCATCGATGTTTCTAACCCTCCCTCCCTCTCCCTTCCTCTCTGAAATCAATAATATATATATATAAATATTTAAAAAAAAAGATATATAGCCCCCTCTGCCCTCCATCTTGGATAATCACAGGTCTGATCTCTCAGAAAATACTTTAAAAAAATATATATATATATACTTGATTTCAGAGAGAGGAAAGGAGAGGAAGAGAGAGAAGCATCCATGATGAGAGAGAATCCTGGACCGGATGCCTCCTGCAGCCCCCGCACTGGGGATCAAGCTGGCACCCAGGCCTGTGCTCTGACCATGAGGACAAAAGGGCAGAGCCTGCCACCAAGGTCCATGCGCTCGACCAGACTCGAACCTGAGACCTTTCGGTCCGCAGGCCGACGCTCTATCCACTGAGCCACACCGGTTTCGGCTGCGTCCTTCCTCTGACGGCAGTGTGTGAGCACAGAGGGAACCCCCATTCTCCAGAGCCTCCTTCCCACCCGTGGAGGCCCTCTTCCCGGCAACTGTCCGCAGTTGGGCTCCAATAAACTCACAGAAATTCTTTACGGGTTTCCACGTTGTTTTTGTTTTTGTTTTTGTTTTACATTAACATCAGGAATCGAACCCGGGGGACCCTTCGGTCCCCAGGCCGAGGCTCTATCCACTGAACCACACTGGCTAGGGCACAGAACATCATATATATGTATACATTGATTTTTTTAATAAAAATTTTTAAAATAAAAAATCAATATATATATATATATTAACAGAGAAGAAGAGAGAGGGATAGAGAGTCAGAGACATCGATGAGAGAAACATCCATCAGCTGCCTCCTGCACACCCCCCACTGGGGATGTGCCCGCAACCAAGGTCCATGCCCCTGACCGGAATTGAACCCGGGACCTTTCAGTCCGCGGCTGTATCCACTGAGCCACACTGGCCAGAGCTCAGAACATCGTTTTTTTTGTTTGTTTGTTTGTTTGTTTTTTAATATATTTTATTGATTTTTGTACAGAGAGGAAGGGAGAGAGATAGTTAGAAACATCAATGAGAGAGAGTCATCAATCAGCTGCCTCTTGCACACCCCCCACTGGGGATGTGCCCGCAACCCAAGGTGCATGCCCTTGACCAGAATCGAACCCGGGACCTTTCAGTCCGCAGGCCGAGGCTCTATCCACTGAGCCACACCAGCCAGAACTCAGAACATCCTTTTTTTATTTTTTTATTTTATTTTATTTTTTTTTTAAATATATTTTTATTGATTTTGTACAGAGAGGAAGGGAGGAGATAGAAAGCTAGAAACATCGATGAGAGAGAGTCATCGATCAGCTGCCTCTTGCACACCCCCTACTGGGGATGTGCCCGCAACCAAGGTACATGCCCTTGACCGGAATCGAACCCGGGTCCCTTAAGTCCCCAAGCCGACGCTCTATCCATTGAGCCAAACCGGTCTCGGCAGAACATCCTTTTTTTTTTTTTTTTTAAAGAGAGTTTCCCAGTTACCAGAACCCGGGAGATGTGAGGTCTGTACGGTGGCACGCCCCCACCCCAACCCCGCCCCCACCCTTACCCCCCCCTAACCCTCACCCCCCCCCACCCCCAGCGGCCGCCCCGCGTGGCCGGGCCCTGTGCCTGCTGGACGGTCCCGCCTTCTGCAGGCGCTCAGGGCTGCGTCTGTCCCCCCCGCAGGCGGGCCAAGGAGGTCGTGCTGCGGTTCGAGGGCCGGCTGACCAGGACCCGGGGCTACCAGGCAGCGGGCACGGAGGTAAGGACCCCAAACCAACACGGTCTCTCCCTGGCAGACCCATCCCGCCACTTCCTGACTCAGCCACCTCGCCTGGGGGGGTCTCAGAGAAAGATACAGCCCTGGCCGGTGTGTCTCAGTGGGCAGAGCGTCGGCCTACGGACCGAGGGGGTCCCGGGTTCGATTCCCTGGTCAAGGGCATGTGCCTCGGTTGCAGGCCCCTCCCTGGCCCGGGCCCCAGGTCAGGGCTTGTGCAAGAGGCAACCCATCGCTGTGTCTGCCTCACATCGGTGTGTCGCTCTGGCTCTCCCCCTCCCTCCCATGCTCCCTAGAAATCAATGGGAAAATATTCTCAAAACAAACAAAAAACACACATCTTGAAACATTTAGCAATTGCATCTTTTTATTTATTTTTTTTAAAATATATTTTATTGATTTTGTACAGAGAGGGAAGGGAGAGAGAGAGTTAGAAACATCGATGAGAGTCATCGACCAGCTGCCTCCTGCACACCCCCCACTGGGGATGTGCCCACAACCAACGTACATGCCCTTGACCGGAATCGAACCCGGGACCCTTCAGTCCCCAAGCCGACGCTCTATCCATTGAGCCACACCGGTTTCGGCCAAATGCATCTTTTTAAAAAAATATATATTTTATTGATTTTTTACAGAGAGGAAGGGAGAGGGATAGAGAGCTAGAAACATCGATGAGAGAGGAACATCCACCGGCTGCCTCCTGCACACCCCCTACTGGGTATATGCCCGCAACCAAGGCACATGCCCTGACCGGGAATCGAACCCGGGACCCTTGAATCTGAAGGCCGACGCTCTACCCACTGAGCCACACCGGTCAGGGCTGCAATTGCATCGTAAAGGGGAAGTCCTCACTGCAGGCCTAAGGTGGTGCCGGGAGCCCCGCCCCCGTGCCGGACTGGGGCGCCTGAGGTCAGAGGTCAGGGTCATCGCCCGCGTGAGGAAGGCCAGCTCTGACCGCGCCCCTCCCCCCAGCTCTGGCGGAAGTTCGCGCGCCTGGTCTGTAACTTCGCTGTGCTCTTCATCCCCTGGGAGACAAGGATCAAGAAGATCGAGAGTGAGTGGGGGGCTGGGCGGGGCGGACGGGCAGCAGGACTGGGGGTGGGGGGGGATGGGGAGGCCACGGGTCACACACCCTGGCTGACCCCGCTGATCACAGGACACCGTGGGGGACACTGCCCACCCCCCACTGCAACCCGGGTGTCCCATCCACTCATCCCCTGGACACCACACAGACCCAGAAGGGTGGAGTGCCTGGCCGGTGTGGCTCAGTGGGTAGAGCGCCGGCCTGCAGACTGAAGGGTCCCGGGTTCGATTCCCGGTCAGGGCCTATGCCCAGGTTGCGGGCTCCATCCCCAGTAAGAGGGTGTGCAGGAGGCAGCGCAATCCATGATTCTCTCATGGATGTTTTCCCCTCTCCCTTCCTCTCTGAAATAACAAAAAATACATATATATTTTAAAAACACAAACTATATGCCGAAACCGGTGTGGCTCAGTGGATAGAGCGTCGGCCTGCGGACTGAAGGAGTCCCGGGTTCGATTCCGGTCAAGGACATGGACCTTGGTTGCAGGCACATCCCCAGGAGGGGGCGTGCAAGAGGCAGCTGATGGATGATTCTCTCTCATCCATGTGTCTAACTCTCTATGCCTCTCTCGTCCTCTCTGTAAAAAAATCAATAAAATATATATTTTTTTTTAAAAACACCCCACAAACTATAGATCAATCAGAGAGGAAGGCGGGCAGTCGGAAAACAGAGACACACTGTCCCCCCGCTGCTCTGAGACCTGTCGCTGTGGGGGCAGGTTACTGGGTGCTCTCTCTCTCTCTCTCTCTCTCTCTCTCTCTCTCTCTCTCTCTCTCCCAACCCCTGCCCCCAGGTCACTTTGGCTCCGGCGTGGCCTCCTACTTCATCTTCCTACGGTGGCTCTTCGGGGTCAACGTCGTGCTGGCCGTCATGACGGGGGCTTTCATTGTCGCCCCAGAGGTGAGCACCATGTCTGGAAATCATCCGTCTTCCGATGAAGAGAAAAGGGCCCCTTTTTAGGAAAAAAATGCAGGAAATGCTCAAGACGGAGACCGATACACAGGACACACACGGAACTGTGTCGCTTCTGGGGAGAGAAAAGGGTGCCAATTGGTTCCAAAAAGAACCGTTACAGCCCTGGCCGGCCGGTGTGGCTCAGTGGATAGAGCGCCGGCCTGCAGACCGAAGGGCCCCGGGTTCGGTTCCGGTCAAGGGCACGGTCCTTGGTTGTGGGCACGTCCCCGGCCCGGGGCACTGGTCATGGATGTGTGTGTGTCTGTCTCTCCCTCTCTCTTCCACGCTCCCTAAAAAAAATGAGAAAATGCCCTCGGGTGAGGAGGAACAACAACTAAAAATAAGAAAAATAAGTCAAAGATAAATAAAAAGAGCCGGGAGAGGCCTGCCCTGAGCCGCCCGCCCTCCCAATGGGGGTGAGGGTGGGGGTGGGAGGGTGGGGGCCGGGGTGGGGGGTCCTGGGAGGAGCCGGCAGAGCTTTCACACAGTGAATCTGGCTCAGAGGTTCTGGAATCCGCCCCATACAACCTTCTGTTCTTCTCCGGAGGCTTACCCCCATTTTAGTGAATTTAATTTGATTTTGTGAATCCTCCCCCGAGGGCATTTCCCCATGGATGTTCAGGGAGGGCGGACAAGAGAGGGAGAGTCAGAGAGAAACATCGATGTGCAAGAGACATCTCCACGGGCTGCCTCCTAACCCTAACCCGACCAGGGAGGGGCCTGGACCTGGCTCGAACCCCGGACCCTTCGGTCCGCAGGCCCGCGCGCTACCCACTGAGCCGCCCGGCCAGGGCGATCCCACCCCCCCCCGCCCCCATGTCAATGAAAGCGAAGCGCACTCAGCTCTCAGCCCTCCAAGGAGGTGACGCCCTGTGCACGTCTCCCAAGTCAACCTGATCCAAGCGGGGGGCGAACGGAAGGGCCATTCCGAGCCCTCGGGGAGCCCCGGGCCCTCAGCGGACCCCCGCGGAAGCACGTGCAGCCCTGACCCCGCAGGAAGGACTTCCGGGCCACGACGCTCATGTCCCGTCAGCCAGGGATGGGCGGACACCAGCCCCTGACCCCGGGAAATCTCGCGAGACCTCCCTTCACCTGACGACCCCTCACGTGACGTCCTCTGGCAATGTCCTCTCACGCCACGTTTTCTTGCGTGACGTCCCCTCGCCTCACGTCCTCTTGCATGACGTCCCCTCGCCTCACGTCCTCTCGCGTGACGTCCCCTTGCCTGACGTCCTTTCTCATGACGTCCTTTCACACCACGTCCCCTCGCCTGACATCCTCTCATGTGACGTCCCCTCATGTGATGTCCTCTCCCATGACGTCCTCTCATGTGACATCTCCTCATGTGACGTCCCCTCATGTGACATCCTCTCACCTGACGTCCTCTCTCATGACATCCCTTCACACCACGTCCCCTCGCTTAACCTCCCCTCATGTGACGTCCTCTCATGTAACATCCTCTCATGTGACATCCCCTCATGTGACATCCCCTCATGTGACATCCCCTCATGTGACATCCCCTCATGTGACATCCCCTCATGTGACATCCCCTCATGTGACGTCCCCTCATGTGACGTCCCCTCATGTAACGTCCCCTCATGTGACATCCCCTCATGTGACATCCCCTCATGTGACATCCCCTCATGTGACGTCCCCTCATGTAACATCCTCTCATGTGACATCCCCTCATGTGACATCCCCTCATGTGACATCCCCTCATGTGACATCCCCTCATGTGACATCCCCTCATGTGACGTCCCCTCATGTGACGTCCCCTCATGTAACGTCCCCTCATGTGACATCCCCTCATGTGACGTCCCCTCATGTAACATCCCCTCATGTAACATCCCCTCATGTGACGTCCCCTCATGTAACATCCCCTCATGTGACGTCCCCTCATGTAACATCCCCTCATGTGACATCCCCTCATGTGATGTCCCCTCATGTAACATCCCCTCATGTGATGTCCCCTCATGTAACATCCCCTCATGTGACGTCCCCTCATGTGACATCCCCTCATGTGACGTCCCCTCATGTAACGTCCCCTCATGTGACATCCCCTCATGTGACATCCCCTCATGTGACATCCCCTCATGTGACGTCCCCTCATGTAACGTCCCCTCATGTGACATCCCCTCATGTGACGTCCCCTCATGTAACATCCCCTCATGTAACATCCCCTCATGTGACGTCCCCTCATGTAACATCCCCTCATGTGATGTCCTCTCATGTGACATCCCCTCATGTGACGTCCCTCATGTGATGTCCTCCGGCGCCACATGCTCTCGTGTGACGCCCTCTCTCCCCAGCTCATCGCCGGCCAGCCCTTCGGGAGCACCGCCAGCAAGAGCGTCCCCGCGGCGCAGGCCGCCTCCGCCCAGGACCTGGACACCGTGTGGTCCCTGGGGGTGAGCGGCGGCCGGAGGGCGGTGGTGAGGGTGATGGTGGTGGTGGTGATGGTGGTGGTGGTGGTGGTGATGGTGGTGATGGTGGTGGTGGTGGTGGTGGTGATGGTGGTGATGGTGGTGGTGATGGTGGTGATGGTGGTGGTGGTGGTGGTGATGGTGGTGGTGGTGGTGGTGATGGTGGTGGTGGTGATGGTGATAGTGGTGATGGTGATGGCGGTGGTGATGGTGATGGTGGTGATGGCGGTGATGATGGTGATGGCGGTGGCGGTGGCGGTGGTGATGGTGATGGTGATGATGGTGGTGGTGATGGTGGTGATGGTGATGGCGGTGGCGGTGGAGATGGCGGTGGCGGTGGCAGTGGTGATGGGGGTGATGGAGGTGATGGTGATGGTGGTGTTGGTGATGGTGGCGGTGGCGGTGGTGATGATGGTGATGGTGATGGTGATGGTGGTGATGGCGATGGTGATGGCGATGGCGGTGGTGGTGATGGTGATGGTGATGGTGATGGTGGCGGTGGCGGCGGCGGCGGCGGTGGCGGTGGCGGCGGCGGTGGCGGTGGCGGTGGTGGCGGCGGCGGCGGTGGGGGTGAAGGGGTTGGACCGCCGGCTCCGGGCCCGCGGCTGACGGCGCGGTGCGGCCCGCAGGGCTACCTCCAGTCCTCCGTCCTCTTCTACGGCTTCTACGGCCGCGAGCGGCGCATCGGGAGCGCGGGCTACCGGCTGCCGCTGGCCTACTTCCTGGTGGGGATGGCCGTGTTCGCCTACAGCTTCCTCGTGCTCCTCCGAAAGTACGGCGTCCCCTTCCCCCCGCCCTAACCGTGCCATCCGGGGACCCCAGCCAGATGTGTGCATGGATTCCTGAGAGGAAGGAGAGGGGGGAGAGAGAATCACCGATGGGCTGCCTCCTGCGCGCCCCCTGCTGGCGATCCAGCCCTGACCCGGAAGCAGACCCTGACCCACAGGGTCCCAGGGGGGCGCCTAACCACTGAGCCACACGGGCCGGGCGCGATGCCCGTGTCCACCAGCTCAGCCCGGGCCGCTCCCGTGTGGGGTGCGGAGGGAGCAGAATAAAAGGGACTTAGCAGGTTGGACCCAGTGGGGTGGGGGGAACCCTCAGGGCAGGGGCCCTGGGAAGGCTGATGTACTCAAAGGAAAGAATTTTGTTTCACAGGAGCCCCGCCGGGCGAGGCACAGGGGTTGAGTGTCGACCTAGGAACCAGGAGGTCAGGGTTCGATTCCCGGTCAGGGAACAGGTCCGGGTTGTGGGCTCCATCCCCAGTGTGGGGCGTGCAGGGGGCAGCCGATCCAAGATTCTCTCTCGTCATGGATGTTTCTCCCTCTCTCTCTCCCTTATTCTCTGAGATCAATTTAAAAAAAATAAAAAAAAAAATAAAAAGGTAGCCGAAACCGGTGTGGCTCAGTGGATAGAGTGCCGGTCTGCAGACTGAAGGGTCCCGGGTTCGATTCCCGTCAAGGGCATGTACCTTGGTTGCGGGTACATCCCAGTTGGGGGGGGGAGGCGTGCAGGAGGCAGCTGATGGATGTTTCTCTCTCATCGATGTTTCTAACTCTCTTTCCCTTCCTCTCTCTAAGAAATCAATAAAATATATATTTTTTTATTTTTTATTTTTTTAAATATATGTTATTGATTTTGTACAGAGAGGAAGGGAGAGAGATAGAGAGTTAGAAACATCGATGAGAGAGAGTCATCGATCAGCTGCCTCTTGCACACCCCCTACTGGGAATATGCCCGCAACCAAGGTCCATGCCCTTGACCGGAATCGAACCCGGGACCCTTCAGTCCCCAAGCCGACGCTCTATCCACTGAGCCAAACCGGTCCCGGCAAAATATATATATATTTTTAAAAAGGTAAAAAATAAAAATGATTTCACAGTCACCGCTGCACAAGGTGACACGGGCTGGCTCAGTGCCCACCCCGTGTCTCCCAACCATAGGCCTTGGCCATGTCCCCATGTCCCCAGGGGCCCGGGTGGGGGTGGGGTTTGTGATGCTCCGGCAGCCACCAGGGGGCGGCACCTGGCACCTGTGGTCCCGTTGACAGGATGGCCAAGAACTCCCGCCTGAGCCTCGCCAGCGCCTCGGGCGACAACTACACCTTCTGCTGGCGCGTCTTCTGCGCCTGGGACTACCTCATCGGGAACCCTGAGGCCGCCGAGAGCAAGGCGGCCGCCATCGTGAACAGCATCCGGGTGAGCGGGCCGGGCAGGCCCCGGGGTAGGGCCTGGGGCCCCGGGCACAGACTCCCTGCTGTTCAGACCAGCGTGGCCAGAGCAAGTGGCATCGGACGTGCCTCCGTCCAGCCCATACAGGGTGGGGTGTGCAGGAGGCAGCCGATCCGTGATTCTCTCCCCTCCTCAATGTTTCTCTCTCCCTCTCCTTTCCTTTCTGGAAGTAAATATTGGAACTCCTGTTTATTTTTATTTATTTATTTTATTTTTTAAAAAAATATATGTTATTGATTTTGTACAGAGAGGAAGGGAGAGAGATAGAGAGTTAGAAACATCGATGAGAGAGAGTCATTGATCAGCTGCCTCTTGCACACCTCCTACTGGGGGTGTGCCCGCAACCAAGGTCCATGCCCTTGACCGGAATCGAACCCGGGACCCTTCAGTCCCCAAGCCGACGCTCTATCCATTCAGCCAAACCGGTCTCGGCTATTTTTTTTTTTTAATAGATATTTTTATTGGTCTCCTAGAGGAAGGGAGAGGGGGAGAGAGAGAGAGAAACATCCATGAGGAGAGAGAATCATGGATCGGCTGCCTCCTCCACGCCCCCCACTGCGGATGGAGCCTGCAACCCGGGCCTGTGCCCTGACTGGGAATCGAACCCTGACCACCTGGTTCCTAGGTCGATGCTCAACCGCGGAGCCACACTCCCAGCCTGGCTGATTTTTTTAGTTCCTCTCTCTAAAATGTTAATGTGCATATTTTGGGTCATTTGCATAACGTGGCCTGCAGTCCTCAGCCTGGCACCAGGGCTGGGGGCACGGCCTTAGGTCCCTGCTGATTGCTCATTAAGGCTCTTTGGGAACTTGGCCTCTGCTGTGGGCACAGCCATCTTGTGTTATGGCGTGACGGTCAATTTGCATACCCCCTCTTTATTAGATAGGATTGCCCCTAACCACTATGTCCCTAATAGGATATTGTAAAAATTAAGTTACGACTCTTTAAAAAAAAAAAAAAAAAAAAAAATATATATATATATATATATATATATATATATATATATATTATTGATTTTTTTTACAGAGAGGAAGGGAGAGGGATAGAGAGTTAGAAACATCAATGAGAGAGATACATCAACCAGCTGCCTCCTGCACACCCCCCACCAGGGATGTGCCCGCAACCAAGGTACATGCCCTTGACCGGAATTGAACCCGGGACCTTTCAGTCCGTAGACCGACGCTCTATCCATGGAGCCAAACTGGTTTCTGCAAGTTACGACATTTTTATTCGAGCGTTTTTTACATACAAAATATTCACTGTGGGTTGCGTGCAGTCTATGGGCTGCGAGTGTGACGTGCTTGCACTAAAACATTTCCGATCATGGAACACATGGCAAGGTTTACAGTTAAAACGCTTTATGGGTCTCTCCCTGCAGGAGGCAATCCTGGAAGAACAGGAAAAGAAGAAAAGCAAGAACCTGTAGGTGCCCAGGCCTGATCGACACCTAATGGCTCCCCTGCTGGCCCGATCGCCCCTAACTGCCCTCCCCTGCCAGCCTAGTCACCCCTAACTGCCCTCCCTGCCAGCCTTATCACCCCTAACTGCCCTCCCTGCCAGCCTTATCACCCCTAACTGCCCTCCCTTCCAGCCTTATCACCCCTAACTGCCCTCCCCTGCCAGCCTTATCACCCCTAACTGCCCTCCCTTGCCAGCCTTATCACCCCTAACTGCCCTCCCCTGCCAGCCTAGTCACCCCTAACTGCTCTCCCCTGCCAGCCTAGTCACCCCTAACTGCCCTCCCTGCCAGCCTTATCACCCCTAACTGCTCTCCCTGCCAGCCTTATCACCCCTAACTGCCCTCCCCTCAGGCCTGATCACCCACAAATGCCCTCCCATGCCAGCCATCTTGTAGCAGCCATCTTGTGTCCACTTGTGTGTTGGAGTGATCATCAATTTGCATATTACCTCTTTATTATATAGGATGCTAGAGACCCAGTGCACGAAATTTTTGCACAGGGGGATGGGTCCATCAGCCGGCCTGCACCCTCTTGCAGTCTGGGACTGCTGGCTGGGACCACTAGCCTGCCTGCCTGATCACCCCTAACTGCTCACCTGCCTGCCTGATCGCCCCTAACGATTCTGCTTGCCTGCCTGTCTGATTGCCCCTAATCGCTTGCCTGCCTGCCTGCCTGCCTGCCTGCCTGATCGCCCCTAACGATTCTGCTTGCCTGCCTGTCTGATTGCCCCTAATCGCTTGCCTGCCTGTCTGATTGCCCCTAATCGCTTGCCTGCCTGCCTGCCTGCCTGCCTGATCGCCCCTAACCACCTCTGCCCCATCCAGAAGGACATCGAGAAGGTTGTTCGGCTGTCTAATGTATAGCATATTACGCTTTTACTATGACCGGCTTTTATTGAATTCAGAGAGAAGGAGAGAGAGGAATATCCATGAGGAGATGGATTGGCTGCCTCCTCCGTGTCCCCTCCTGGGGACCGAGCCCACCACCTGGGCCTGCGCCCTTGGCCAGACATCGAACCTGGGACCCCTTCGGTCCACAGGCCGATGCTCTATCCACTGAGCCACCCCAGCCAGGGCGTCCGGCACCAGACTCTTGTTGACGTGCCTTTCGGGGTGACGTCTCAGATCTGGGGTTCTTCTCGAGGTTTGGGGCGGGGGAGGGGGCACGTTGGGAGGTGGGGCCGTCCCGGGAGAAGGCAGGTCCCTGGGGACAGACAGACAGACGCACCTGCTCACGCCTGCCTCTGCGCAGGGCGGTGACCGTCTGCCTGCGGGCCGTGGCCAACGTGCTGGTGCTGCTGTCGCTGGCCGGAAGCATCTACCTCATCTACTTCGTGGTGGAGCGGTCGCAGCGGCTGGAGCAGTCCAAGAAGGAGCTGACGCTCTGGGAGAAGAACGAGGTACTGGGGTGCCTTCCCTGGGGCATGGGGATGCTGCTAGTTCCCCCAGCAGGAGCCGGGCTGGGCCGTGGGCAGGGCCGGAGTGTCTCCTGGGTCTCCGTCCGGAAGATGTTCATTCAAAATTGCCTTGCACCCCGGCCGGTGTTGCTCAGTGGGTAGAGCGTCGGCCTGTGGACCGAAGGGACCCGGGTTCGATTCGGGTCAAGGGCACGTACCTCGGGTGGCAGGCTCCTCCCCGGCCCGGGCCCTCCCTGGTCAGGGCGTGTGCAGGAGGCAGCCCATCAGGGTGTCTCTCTCCGTCGATGTTTCTCTCTCTGTCTCTCCTCTTTTTCATCTCTCTCTAAAAAAATCAATAAAAAAAATATCCTCAGGTGAGGATTGACAACAATAAATCACCTTGATGGCCGAAGCCGGTTTGGCTCAGTGGATAGAGCGTCGGCTTGGGGACTGAAAGGTCCCGGGTTCGATTCCGGTCAAGGGCATGCACCTTGGTTGCGGGAACATCCCCAGTGGGGGGTGTGTAGGAGGCAGCTGATCGAGGTTTCTCTCTCATCGATGTTTCTAACTCTCTATCTCTCTCCCTTCCTCTCTGTACAAAATCAATAAAAAATATATTTTAAAAAAATAAAAAAATAAATAAATCACCTTTATGGCCTTAACCAGTGTGGCTCAGTGGACAGAGCATTGGCCTATAGACTGGAGGGTCCCGGGTACCATTCCGGTCAAGGGCATGCACCTTGATGGTGGGCACCTCCCAGTCCGAAGTGTGTGTGTGGGTGGGGGAGGATGAGGGGGGAAGGGTCAGTGTAAGCACAGTCCCCAGACGGCCGAAGCCGTGGCGCCTCCCTGTGGCCTTTTGCAAAAAAGCTAAGTAGCAGCCCTGGCCGGTGTGGCTCAGTGGGTAAGAGCGCTGGCCTTCGGGTTCGATTCCTGCTCAGGGCACACGCCTGGGTTGCGAGCTCGATACCAGTGAGGGGCGTGCAGGAGGCAGCCAATCCAAGATTCTCTCTCATCATGGATGTTTCTCTCTCTCCCTCTCCCTCTGTCTCTGAAACCAATAAAAATAAATTTTATTTATTTATTTATTTATTTTAAAAGATATTTTATTGAGTTTTCACAGAGAGGAAGGGAGAGGGATAAAGAGTTGGAAACATCCGTGAGAGAGAATCACCGACCAGCTGCCTCTTGCACAACCCCTACTGGGGATGTACCCGCAACCGAGGTCCATGCCCTTGACGGGAATCGAACCTGGGACCCTTCAGTCTGCAGGCCGACGCTCTATCCACTGGGCCACACTGGTTTTGGCTAAAAATAGATTTTAAGAGACTAGGAAAAAAGCAAACTAGCAGAGCTTGGGGGGTAAAAGCCGCCAGGCCCCAGGCCGGGCTGAGGGCAGATGACGGCGACAGGAGGGGAGGTGGGGAGGGGAGGGGAGTGGCGCCCGGGCCCTCGCCCACGCGCGCTCTGTCCCCGCAGGTGAGCGTGGTGGTCTCCCTGGTGACCATGATCGCGCCCTCGGCCTTCGACCTCATCTCCACCCTGGAGATGTACCACCCACGGACCACGCTGCGCTTCCAGCTGGCCAGGTGGGTGCCTGCGGGCGGCGCCGGGTGTGGGTCCCCACTCCCCCCGCCCCCGTCTGTGTCCCCCGTGGGAAATCCCAGTCCATTGAGCCAAGGCTGCCCCCCGGTCCCCCAGACTCAGCTCAGCCCGCCGGCCGGCGTGGCTCCACGGTTTAGTGTTGACCTAGGAACCAGGAGGTCACGGTTCGATTCCCGGTCGGGGCACAGGCCCGGATTATGAGCTCCATCCCCAGTGCGGGGCGTGCAGGAGGCAGCTGATCCGTGATTCTCTCTCCTCATGGATGGTTCTCTCTTTCCTCTCCCTCTCCCTTCCTCTCTAAAGTCAATAAAAAAAAATATTAAAAATAAAAGAACTTAGCAGAGCTTCCCTGTGATGCATCTAAGATGAGCAGGATGTAAAGGAGAGAAGGGGAGGAGGAGGAGGGAGAAGCGGGGAGGAAAGAGAGAGAGAGAGAGAGAGAGAGAGAGAGAGAGAGAGAGAGAGAGAGAGGAGAAGAGAAGAGGGAGAAGAAATAGAGGGAGCCGAAACCCGTGTTGCTCAGTGGATAGAGCGCCGGCCTGCAGACTGAAGGGTCCCGGGTTCGATTCCGGTCAAGGGCACGTACCTTGGTTGCGGGCACATCCCCAGTAGGGGGTGTGCAGGAGGCAGCTGATCGATGATCCTCTCTCATCAGTGTTTCTCTCTATCCTTCTCCCTTCCTCTCTGTAAAAAAATCAATAAAATATATGTAAAAAAATAAAAATACTTTGTATTGATCTTCGTGAGGAAAGGAGAAGGAGAGAGAGAAACATCAGTGATGAGAGAGAATCATTGATCGGCTGCGTCCTGAAGGCCCCACACTAGGGATTGAGCCCGCAACCCGGGCGTATGCCCTGATCGGGAATCGAACCCGACTCCATCCACTGAGCCACACCAGCCGGGGCCAATAAAACAGTTTTAAACCAGATGAGTGACAGGTGCACAGAGGGTCTACACTCACCTTGGAGCAGTGCCGGCCCCGACCTCAGCTCCCCTGTGTGTGAGGCTCAGTGAGGACGGGGCGCCCCCAGGGGGAAGGCGCCCCAAGGCCCTGGTCTCCCGGTGGCTGAGGGGGGCCCTGGCACCCTGTGTTTTATCCCCCGGAAAGGCTCTGAGGGACCCCACAAGGCAGGCACTGCCCCCCACGGGGAGGTCTGGGACGTGGGTGTCAGGGTGCCCTCTCTCATGGGCCTCGCCCCTCAGAGTGCTGGTGCTGTACCTGGGCAACCTCTACAGCCTCATCATCGCCCTCCTGGACAAGGTCAACAGCATGAGCACCGAGGTGAGTGCCCCCACGGCCCCCAGCCGCGCCACGCACGGACAGACGGACGGACACACAGATACACAGAGACACACAGACAGATATACACAGATATACACACAGACACATACACACACAGAGACACACAGACAGATATACACAGATATACACACAGATACACAGATGGACACACAGACACAGAGACTGATATACACATAGATATACACACAGATACACAGATGTACATACACATACACAGATATACACACAGACACATACACACACAGAGACACACAGACAGATATACACAGATATACACACAGATACACAGATGGACACACAGACACACAGACAGATATTCACATAGATATACACACAGACACACAGATATATACACAGACACACAGATATACACATAGATATACACACAGACACACAGATATATATACACAGACACACAGACAGATATACACATAGATATACACACAGATACACAGGTGTACATACAGATGCATATATATACACACAGACATAGACACAGACATACACAGATACAGTTAGATACAGACAGATATACAGAGAGATAATACACACACACAGACAGTTAGACAGGAGGACAGAGGGATGAGGACAGAGAGACAGAAACGGGGACAGAAGGACAGAGGTACAGAGGGATGGGGACAGAGGGACGGGAGGACAGAGGGACAGGGACAGGGGGACAGAGGGACAGGGGGACAGAGGGACAGAGGGATGGGAACAGAGAGACAGAGGGACAGAGACAGGGGGACAGAGGGACCGAGGGATGGCGACAGAGAGACAGGAGGACAGAGGGACAGTGACAGAGAGACAGAGACGGGGACAGAAGGACAGAGGTACAGAGGGATGAGGACAGAGGGACAGGGACAGAGAGACAGAGGTGGGGGCAGAAGGACAGGGGACAGAGGGATGGGGACAGAGGGACAGACACGGGGGCAGAAGGACAGGGGACAGAGGGATGGGGGCAGAGGGACAGGGACAGAGAGACAGACGGGGGCAGAAGGACAGGGGGACAGAGGGATGGGGACAGAGGGACAGGGACAGAGAGACAGAGACGGGGGCAGAAGGACAGGGGGACAAAGAGCTGGCCCCTGAGCCGTGCAGGGAGGAGGGCTCCTCACAGACGTGTGGACACCCTTTCCCGTCCTGCCCCCACCCTCCCCGTCCCAGTCCCCGTCCCCATCCCCCCAGGAAGCTGCCACCAGCGGGAACGGGACTCACTGGCCCGGGGCCCCCGGCGGGGAGAAGTGGCCGGCGCCCGGGAGGAACGGCTCCTGGGCCCTGGCGCCGGCCGGCGCCCCCACGCCCGCCCCCGAGCCCCCCGCGGCCAACGGGACGGCCAGCCCCCCGAGCCTGCAGGACCAGTGCTGGGAGACCTACGTGGGGCAGGTAGGGCCCCTGGGCCCCGGGCCCCCGCACCCGCCGCAGCTCTGGTGGGTGGACTGGAGGGTCCCGGGTTCGATTCCCAGCCAGGCCGCGCACCTGCCGAGGTGGCGGGCTCCGTCCCACGAGCGTGCGGGGGGCGTGTGGGAGGCAGCCCGTCCGCCCGTGATTCTCTCACGGCGATGTGTCTCCCCCTCCCTCCCTCCCGCTTCCTCTCTGAAATCAGAGAATACTCATAAGGAAATCAGACCCGGCGGCCTGGCCTGGGCGCTGGGCCCTGTTCCGAGGGCTTGTCCTCCTCAGCTCCTGTGGTCACCCTCCTGTGGGTGCAGAGGAGGAAACTGAGGCACGGAGCGTGCAGGCCCTGCCAGGCACTGCTCCACCCCTGTGCCCCGCCCACCCGGGCCCCGCCTCCTGGGCCCCGCCCACGTGGCCCCACCTCCTGTACCCGCCAACCTGGCCCCGCCCCTGTGCCCCACCCACCCCTGTGCCCCGCCCTGTGCCCCGCCCTGTGCCCCCGCCCACCATGTGCCCCACCCACCCTATATCCTGCCCCTGTGCCCCGCCCCCGTGCCCCGCCACTGCCCCGCTCACCCCTGTGCCCGGCCCACCCGGGCCCCGCCTCCTGTGCCCCACCCTCTCTGCCCCACCCACCCTATGCCCCGCCCACCCACGCCCCGCCCCCGTGCCCCGCCCCGTGCCCCGCCCCATGCCCCGCCCCGTGCCCCGCCCACCCCTATATCCTGCCCCATGTGCCCCGCCCACTCCTATATCCTGCCCCCTGTGCCCCGCCCACCCCTGTGCCCCGCCCACCATGTGCCATGCCCACCGGTACCACGCCCACCGGTGCCCCGCCCACCCCTGTGCCCCGCTCACCCCTGTGCCCCGCCCACCCTGTGCCCCACCCCTGTGCCCCACCCACCCCTATATCCTGCCCCCTGTGCCCCGCCCACCTGTGCCCCGCCCACCCATGTGCCCCGCCCACCCCTGTGCCCCGCCCCCTGGCCCCGCCGGTCCGCACACCAACTGCCTGCAGAGTCTGTGCCCCTGAGGGCCAGCCAGGGCCGAGCGTGGGCTCCTGCGGCTCAGACCTCCGCGTGGCCGGTCCACCGGCGGGACGTCCAGGCCCACGTGACCCGTGCTGAGCGCACGCCAGCCGGTGGTCGGAGGGCTGGTCTGCAGCCACGGGGGGGGGGGCAGGGCCGGCGGGGGGGGGGCAGGGCCGGCCGGAGGGAGGGGGGCAGGGCCGGCCGGGGGGGGGGCAGGGCCGGCCGGGGGGGGGGCAGGGCCGGCCGGGGGGGGGGCAGGGCCGGCCGGGGGGGGGGACAGGGCCGGCCGGAGGGGGGCAGGGCCGGCCGGAGGGGGGGGCAGGGCCGGCCGGAGGGGGGGGCAGGGCCGGCCGGAGGGGGGGGGCAGGGCCGGCCGGAGGGGGGGGGCAGGTCCGGCCGGGGGGGGGCAGGGCCGGCCGGAGGGGGGCAGGGCGGCGGCGGCCCGGACACCGCCCCCTGACCCCCCCCCCCAGGAGCTGCTGAAGCTGTCCATCATCGACATGCTCTTCACCGTGGCCGGCGTGCTGCTCATCGACCTCTTCCGCGGCCTCTGCGTCCGCTACCTCAGCGACTACTGGTGCTGGGACCTGGAGCGCAAGTTTGTGAGGAGCAGGCGCGGCCTGCGGGGGGGGCTGGGCCTGGAGCCAGGGCGGCCGCAGGGGAGGCCTGAGGCAGGGGGGGGGCGGGGTGCAGGGCCGAGCCTCCAGGGCAGAGCTTCCTCCCTGTGGGAGCCGCTTCCTGCGGGAGGGGGCCTCGCTCACAGAAGCCCTTTTCTCCGCAGCCTGAATACGGGGAGTTCAAGATCGCCGAGAACGTGCTGCATCTGATCTACAACCAGGGGATGATCTGGTGGGTGCGGCTCTCAGCTGCTGCTTTATAATCTTTTTTATTGATTTTTCACAGAGGAAGAGAGAGGGATAGAGAGTTAGAAACATGAGAGAGAATCATCGATCAGCTGCCTCCTGCACACCCCCCACTGGGGATGTGCCCGCAACCAAGGTCCATGCCCTTGTCCGGAATCGAACCTGGGACCTTTCAGTCCGCAGGCCGATGCTCTATCCACTGAGCCAAACCGGTTTTGGCTCAGCTGCTGCTTTCTAAGATATATGTACCCTGTTTCCCCGGAAAATAAGACAGTGCCTTATATTAATTTTTGCTCCCAAAGATGTGCTAGGTCTTATTTTCAGGGGATGCCTTATTTTTCCATGAAGAAGGATACGGCACACATTTATTGTTAAATGAAAATAAAGGAAATGTATTACCTGTGTACAGTACGGTAGTACGGCAGTTGTCAACACAAACCAGACACACTGTGAATCCTACAGTATCAAGAACGTACTCATCGATTCAATGACAATCATGCCATCCTCTTCTGGAACATCATCCTCACAATCCGATTCCTGAATTTCCTGGTGAATGTCTTGTGACTCCATTTCTTTCAGAATCAGTGGGCCAAATCTCTCATGTGTAGCCTGGGGTGGGGGGGGCTTATTTTCGGGGGAGATGCCTTCTATTTCACTCAGAAGGAAACCTGTAAGTAGGTCTTATTTTCGGAGGATGTCTTATTTTCGGGGAAACACGGTACTAGAGACCTGGTGCATGGATTCGTGCACTGGTGGGGGGCGTAGCCTGTGGGAATCAGCCCCCTGTGGAGTGACACTCATCCCGGTCAGCCGAGTGGCTGTGGACCCGCCCTGAGTGGCTGCTCCCGCTGTGGGAGCCACTGACCACCCGGGGGAGGGAGGGGGCAGCTCCTGCATTGAGCGTCCGCCCCCTGGTGGTCAGTGCATGTCCCAGCAACTGGTTGACTGGTCATTCTGGTCCTTCCGCCGTTTGGTCCCTGGACTTTTACATGTATAGACTAGAGGCCTGATGGACAAATTTCATGCATGGGTAGGGTTCCTAGGGCTGGTTGGCGATCAGGGCCAAATTGTGGGGTGACCAGTGGGGCGATTGGGGGTGGAGGGAGGGTCCCTGCTAGCACCTGCCTTGGCTGGCCTGGCGCCTGCAGGCCGGGGGCAGCTCCTGTGTTGAGCGTCTGCCCCGTGGGGGTCAACGTGCATCTTAGCAACCCATCATTCCACTGGGAGTTCCCCCATTTTGCCAATTTGCATATTGGGCTTTTATTATATAGGATTTTGGTTGTTGTTGATTTGAGAGAGAGAGAGAGAGAGAGAGAGAGAGAGAGAGAGACATCCATGATGAGAGAGAATCAGGGATCGGTTGCCTCCTGCATGGGGATCGAGCCCACAATCCAGGCATGTGCTCTTTCCTGACCGGGAATCGAACCTTTACCTCCTAGTTTGTAGGTCGACGTTCAGCCCCTGAGCCACACCGGTGCGAGGCGAGGGGCACAGAGGGCCTGGGACGCAGGGTCACTGCTCACCTCCAGGAGATGGGGGCGGGGCCTGGGGTCTCAGATCTCAGGGATCTCCCCCCAGTTCCTTGAGTGTGGCGGTAGCCACCCCCCTCCCCCGAGGGGCTTGGGACCACGGCAGAGGAGGCCACGTGCTCACGCCCCCTCCCCGGTTCCAGGATGGGCTCCTTCTTCTCGCCGTGCCTGCCCGCCTTCAACGTCCTCAAGCTGATCGGGGTCATGTACCTGCGGAGCTGGGCTGTACTCACCTGCAATGTGCCCCACCAGCAGGTCTTCCGGGCGTCCAGGTGGGTGGCACCCCTCGGCCTGTGGGTGCAGAGAGCCCATCCAGGTCCCCTGCGGCCAGGGCACACACACACACACACACACACACACACACACACACCCCGCCACCAGCCTGACCTGGTTAATTCTCTCTCCAAGCCTTCCGGGACCCAGCCTGGAATTCACCATCCCTCCCCGAGAGCTACCGACACATTTTTTTAAAAAATATATTTATAAATATATTTTATTGATTTTTTACAGAGAGGAAGAGAGAGGGATAGAGAGTTAGACACATCGATGAGATAGAATCACCGATCAGCTGCCTCTTGCACGACCCCTACTGGGGATGTGCCCGCAACCAAGGTCCATGCCCTTGACCGGAATCGAACCTGGGACCCTTCAGTCTGCAGGCTGATGGCTCCGTCCACTGAGCCACACCGGTTTCAGACCGACACATTTTTATTTTATTTTATTATTATTTAAAAAATATATTTTATTGATTTTTTTATAGAGAAGAAGGGAGAGAGTTGGAGAGTTAGAAACGTCGATGAGAGAGAAACATTGATCAGCTGCCTCCTGCACACCCCCCACTGGGGATGTGCCCGCAACCAAGGTACAAACCCTTGACCGGAATCGAACCCAGGACCCTTCAATCCGCAGGCCGACGCTCTATCCACTGAGCCAAACTGGTCAGGGTATGACACATTTTTATAAACTTTTAAAAATCCTCCCCCGAATATATTTTCCCAGTTATTTTCAGAGGGAGGGACAGAGAGAAACATCGATGGGAGAGAGACACATTGATGGGCTGCCTCCTGCATGTGCCCTGACCAGGGCCCGGGCTGGGAGGATCCCGCAACCAAAGTCCATGCCCTTGACCGGAATCGAACCTGGGACCTTTTAGTCCAGAGGCAGGCGCTCCATCCACGGAGCCACACCGGCCAGGGCTTAAGAACTTTGGCTGGAGTTTAATCACCAGTGGGAAGTGGCTTTCATACACACCCCGTTTGGATGATGTTCGCAGACTGAACGCCAGCGTGTTTTGAGGCCACAGCCCTGAGGGTGGGACGGGGGTCTGACGTGGTCCCTGGGTTGTGCTCAGTAGCTGAGGGCTGTGGGCTGGCCCGTCTCGGTTTGAGGGGGGCAGGCTGGGCCGGGTGACCCAGGAAGGAAGTCCCTAGTTTGCTAAGCTCCTGTGACCCCTGATACTCCTCCCTGCGCAGTGGGGGAGCAGGGGAGGGGGCAGATGGTGTTTTGTTGGCAGAGTCAGACTGTGGGTTCTGTGTCATTTTCCTGGGCGTGTGGCTGTGGCTCCGTGTCCGTCCCTGGGTCCCTGGGCGTGTGGCTGTGGTTCCGTGTCCGTCCCTGGGTCCCTGGGCGTGTGGCTGTGGTTCCGTGTCCGTCCCTGGGTCCCTGGGCGTGTGGGTGTGGTTCCGTGTCCGTCCCTGGGTCCCTGGGCGTGTGGCTGTGGTTCCATGTCCGTCCCTGGGTCCCTGGGTGTGTGGCTGTGGCTCCGTGTCCGTCCCTGGGCGTGTGGCTGTGGTTCCGTGTCCATCCCTGAGTCCCTGGGCGTGTGGCTGTGGCTCCGTGTCCGTCCCTGGGTCCCTGGGCGTGTGGCTGTGGCTCCGTGTCCGTCCCTGGGTCCCTGGGCGTGTGGCTGTGGCTCCGTGTCCGTCCCTGGGTCCCTGGGCGTGTGGCTGTGGTTCCGTGTCCGTCCCTGGGTCCCTGGGTCCCTGGGCGTGTGGCTGTGGTTCCGTGTCCGTCCCTGGGTCCCTGGGCGTGTGGCTGTGGCTCCGTGTCTGTCCCTGGGTCCCTGGGCGTGTGGCTGTGGTTCCATGTCCGTCCCTGGGTCCCTGGGTGTGTGGCTGTGGCTCCGTGTCCGTCCCTGGGCGTGTGGCTGTGGTTCCGTGTCCATCCCTGAGTCCCTGGGCGTGTGGCTGTGGCTCCGTGTCCGTCCCTGGGTCCCTGGGTCCCTGGGCGTGTGGCTGTGGTTCCGTGTCCGTCCCTGGGTCCCTGGGCGTGTGGCTGTGGCTCCGTGTCCGTCCCTGGGTCCCTGGGCGTGTGGCTGTGGTTCCATGTCCGTCCCTGGGTCCCTGGGTGTGTGGCTGTGGCTCCGTGTCCGTCCCTGGGCGTGTGGCTGTGGCTCCGTGTCCGTCCCTGGGTCCCTGGGTCCCTGGGCGTGTGGCTGTGGTTCCGTGTCCGTCCCTGGGTCCCTGGGCGTGTGGCTGTGGCTCCGTGTCCGTCCCTGGGTCCCTGGGTCCCTGGGCGTGTGGCTGTGGCTCCGTGTCCGTCCCTGGGCGTGTGGCTGTGGCTCCGTGTCCGTCCCTGGGCGTGTGGCCGTGGTTCCGTGGCCACAGCGTGACCCGTGGCGGCCTGCAGGTCCAACAACTTCTACCTGGCCATGCTGCTGTTCATGCTGTTCCTGTGCATGCTGCCCACCGTGTTCGCCATCGCGCGCTACCGGCCGTCCCTGCACTGCGGGCCCTTCAGGTGAGCGCTCGCCCCCCTCCCCGGACAGCCGCCCTGTCCTCCCCCTCCTCCCCCTTCCCCTCCCCCTCCTCCTCCTCCCCGTCTTCCTCCTCCCTCTCCTCCTCCTCCTCTTCCCCCTCCTCCTCCCCCTTCCCCTCCTCCTCCCCCCCTCCTTCCCCTCCTCCTCCTCCCCCTCTTCCTCCTCCTCCTCTTCCTCCCCCTCCTCCTCCTCCTCCTCTTCCTCCCCCTCCTCCTCCTCTTCCCCGTCCTCCTCCTCCCCCTCCTCCTCCTCCTCCTCCTCCTCCTCCTCCTCTTCCCCGTCCTCCTCCTCCCTCTCCTCCTCCTCCTCCTCCTCCTCTTCCTCCTTCTCCGGGCCCGGCTGGCGTGGGCGCTGCGAGGCAGGCCCTGTCCTCCCGGGCGCCGCCCTGCTGGCCTCTGTCCCGCTCCCTAAGGAGAGGGTGCGGCCAGCACCCAGAGGGCACAGGGCGCTGGGTGCTCCAGGGAGCTCCCCGCCGGCCAGGCCCCCCCAGACTCGGGGTCCCTGAGAGTCCTCCCACCCCTGCTTCCACCGCATCCCGTCAGGGCGTTCCGCTCCCTTCCCCGGGTGAGCTTTGCCTTTGTCGTTGTTCATCCTCATCTGAGGAGATTCCCCGCGGACTTTCAGAGAGAGCGGAGGGCGGGAGACAGAGAGAGAGACATCGACGGGAGGAGGCACGTCGATGGGTTGCCCCTGCACCCGCCCGACCACGGCAGGGATTGAGTCTGCACCCGAGTCCGTGCCCTTGACCGGAACGGAGCCCGGAGCCTTCAGTCTGGGGGCCGCCGCTCTAACCACTGGGCAAGACAGGCCAGGGCTATAAGTCCATTTCGATAACATCTACGGAACATTCAGGGTCTTGGTTTGTGTGCACTACTCACACTCACATTCACACACTCACATGCACACTCACACTCACATTCACACACATGCACACTCACACGCACACACTCTTACACACTCGCACACGTGCACACACACACTCGCTCTCACACTCGCACACTCACATGCACACTCACACGCTTGCACATGCACACACATGCATACACTCACGCACACACTCACATGCACACTCTCACTCACACTTGCACACACACACTTGCACATGCACACACATGCACACACTTGCACATGCACACACTCACGCACACACTCACATGCACACTCACACATTTGCACACACTCACATGCACACTCACACATTTGCACACACTCACATGCACACTCACACACGTGCACATGCACACACATGCACACACACATGCACACTCACATGCACACTCTCACTCACACTTGCACACACTCACATGCACACTCACACACTTGCACATGCACACACATGCACACACACACTCACATGCACACTCTCACTCACACTTGCACACACTCACACGCACACACACTTGCACATGCACACACATGCACACACTTGCACATGCACACACACTTGCACATGCACATACTCACGCACACACTCACATGCACACTCTCACTCACACTTGCACACACTCACATGCACACTCACACACTTGCACATGCACACACATGCACACTCACATGCACACTGACATGCACACTCTCACTCACACTTGAACGCACTCACACTCACACTCACACTCACACCGACACACTCTGATTACAGACCCACCTCCCGCTGCGCGGTGCCCGGGACTCTTCCCGGGGACCCCCTTTCCCCCCAGAACAGGCTGGCGTCCTCCCCCTTCCTCGCTGACCTTGACGCCCGCCCTCTCTGCCCCCCTGCGCCCCCCAGCGGGCAGGAGAAGATCTACGACGTGGTGGCCGAGACGGTGGCCGACCTGCCGGCCTGGTGCGGCGCGGTGGTGGGCTACGTGAGCAGCCCCGTGGTGATCCTGCCCGCCGTGCTGCTGCTCTTGTGAGTGCCCGGCCGCAGACCCATTACAGTGGGTCTGTAATCAGAGTGTGCCGGTGTGAGTGTGCATGCGAGTGCGTGCACGTGTGAGTGAGAGTGTGCATGCGAGTGCGTGCAAGTGTGAGTGAGAGTGTGCATGTGAGTGCGTGCAAGTGTGAGTGAGAGTGTGCATGCAAGTGCGTGCACGTGTGAGTGAGAGTGTGCATGCGAGTGTGTGCAAGTGTGAGTGAGAGTGTGCATGTGAGTGCGTGCAAGTGTGAGTGAGAGTGTGCATGTGAGTGCGTGCAAGTGTGAGTGAGAGTGTGCATGCGAGTGCGTGCACGTGTGAGTGAGAGTGTGCATGCGAGTGCGTGCAAGTGTGAGTGAGAGTGTGCATGCGAGTGCGTGCAAGTGTGAGTGAGAGTGTGCATGCGAGTGTGTGCAAGTGTGAGTGAGAGTGTGCATGTGAGTGCGTGCAAGTGCGAGTGAGAGTGTGCATGCGAGTGCGTGCAAGTGTGAGTGAGAGTGTGCATGCGAGTGCGTGCACGTGTGAGTGAGAGTGTGCATGCGAGTGCGTGCAAGTGTGAGTGAGAGTGTGCATGCGAGTGCGTGCAAGTGTGAGTGAGAGTGTGCATGCGAGTGCGTGCACGTGTGAGTGAGAGTGTGCATGCGAGTGTGTGCAAGTGTGAGTGAGAGTGTGCATGCGAGTGCGTGCAAGTGTGAGTGAGAGTGTGCATGCGAGTGCGTGCAAGTGTGAGTGAGAGTGTGCATGCGAGTGCGTGCAAGTGTGAGTGAGAGTGTGCATGCGAGTGTGTGCAAGTGTGAGTGAGAGTGTGCATGCAAGTGTGTGCAAGTGTGAGTGAGAGTGTGCATGCAAGTGCGTGCAAGTGTGAGTGAGAGTGTGCATGCGAGTGCGTGCAAGTGTGAGTGAGAGTGTGCATGCGAGTGCGTGCAAGTGTGAGTGAGAGTGTGCATGCGAGTGCGTGCAAGTGTGAGTGAGAGTGTGCATGCGAGTGTGTGCAAGTGTGAGTGAGAGTGTGCATGTGAGTGCGTGCAAGTGCGAGTGAGAGTGTGCATGCGAGTGCGTGCACGTGTGAGTGAGAGTGTGCATGCGAGTGCGTGCACGTGTGAGTGAGAGTGTGCATGCGAGTGCGTGCAAGTGTGAGTGAGAGTGTGCATGCGAGTGTATGCAAGTGTGAGTGAGAGTGTGCATGCGAGTGCGTGCAAGTGTGAGTGAGAGTGTGCATGCGAGTGTGTGCAAGTGTGAATGAGAGTGTGCATGTGAGTGTGCATGTGTGTGCATGTGCCAGTGTGTGAGTGTGCATGTGAGCTGGGCCTGGGCGGCGGGGGCGGCCCCGCGGCCTGTGGCGCCCTGCCCCCGAGGTCAGCAGCTGCAGGAGGGACCTCCCGTGCGCCGCGCTCCTGCCCGCCCTGCAGCCCCCCAGCCGGCCCACTGGATCCGCTCCGTCTGCGCTGCAGCCCGGGCAGCGGAGGCTGCTGGGAAGAGCAGGACCGCGGGAGAGGGAAGAGCCGGCCGGGGCGCCTGCGGCCTCGGTGCCCAGGGCGACTGCTGAGCCCTGGGCGAGGGGCTGGGACCCCAGCGAAGCAGGGCGGGGTGGGGGGCGCACCCAAACGCTGAGCCTGGAGCCCCGATCTCCCTCTCCCCACACCCGCCCCCAGCCCTGATCCCCCTGATTCCTGATTCCCGAACCCTGAGCCCTGGCCGTCTCTCCTCCCTCCCAGCATGCTCATCTACTACCTGCAGAGCATCGCCCGGTCCCTGAGGCTCAGCAACCGCCAGCTCCGCATGCAGATCCAGAACGCAAGTACCGCCCGCCCCGCGGGGACGAAGGGGCAGGTCCCGCCAGCAGGGGGCGCCCGGGAGGCCTCTCATTCCCAAATCTCCGGGACTCCCGGCTCCCCCGGGGGCTGCAAGGCCCCCTCACCGCCTCCTGGCATCACCCAGGGTCATTGCTGAGAGTCCCCCCCGGGCAGAGGGCCCCCATTTGCCCAGGAATGAAATGAGGCTGCCCGCCCAGCACTTGGATGCCTGAGAACTTGAGCGCCATCTGGTGGCCATGCCCATCCCTGCAGGCGTGGGCTTTTCCGGGCGGGAGAGAAGGGACTCCTGGAATCCGTGTCCTCGTTGGGCATCGGAGCCAGAGGCGCTGTTAGATCCTGGTGGTTCTTTTTATTTAATTATTTTTTAAAAAATTATTTTTTATTGATTTTTTTACAGAGAGAAGAAAAGAGGGACAGAGAGCTAGAAATGTCAATGAGAGAGAAACATCAACCAGCTGCCTCTTGCACACCCCCTTCTGGGAATGTGCCCGCAACCAATGTCCATGCCCTTGACCGGAATCGAACCCGGGACCCCTCAGTCCGCAGACCAACGCTCTATCCACTGAGCCAAACCGGTTTCGGCTATTTAATTATTTAAATATATTTTATCGATTTTCCACCGAGAGGAAGGGAGAGGGACAGAGAGCTAGAAATGTCGAGAGAGAAACATCGACCAGCTGCCTCCTGCACACACCCTGCTGGGGATGTGCCTGCAACCAAGGCACCTGCCCTTGACCGGAATCAAACCTGGGACCTGCCTTCAGTCCGCAGGCCGACGCTCTATCCACTGAGCCACACTGGTTTCAGCTTTTTTCCTTTTTAAAAAATATATTTTATTGATTTTCCACAGAGGGGGATAGAGAGTTAGAAACGTCGATGAGAGAGAAACATCGACCCTGGTGGTTCTTAAGCCTTAGCTGTCAGAACAGTCAGAGGGAGCCCAGGGCCCCTCCCCACCCCCAATCCTTCCACATTCCCCACTCCTCCCACCGCCAGCGGCTCCCCCAGGGCCAGCACCAGCTCACCCCCTCCCAGGACCCCACACCAGGGACCACCACCTCTTTACATTTTTAAAAAAAACACCTCCCGTGAATCCCGATTCTGGCACAGAAATCCCATCCCCTCAGTCGTTTAAAAAGAAAAGCATTTGGAGCAGCTGAGGGCGTCCCGGTGTTGCCTGCACCATATATATATATATATATATATATATATATATATATATATATTATTGATATATTTTATTGATTTTTAATATATTTTATTGATTTTTCACAGAGAGGAAGAGAGAGGGATAAAGAGCCAGAAACATCGATGAGAGAGAAACATCCATCAGCTGCCTCTTGCACTCCCCACCCCCACCAGGGATGTGCTGGCAACCCAGGTCCATGCCCTTGACCGGAATCGAACCCGGGACTTTTTAGTCCGCAGGCCGACGCTCTATCCACTGAGCCACACCGGTTTTGGCGCCCGCACCTCTTGTCTGTGTCCCAGCCCCGTCACTGGCGGGACCCCACCTCCATGGGGGGGGGGCTGGAAGGCCACCCGTGAGGCATAAGCGTTAGCCCCTGGGGCAGGGGCAGGGCCAAAGGCACCAGCACGGTGGCTCGTGTCTTTCCCGCCTGCCCCTGCCTCCTGCGACATCCAAAAACGTGTGGTTATCGTCCCTGTTGCAGGCAAGATCTGAAGACAAGAGGAAGGCGGCCCAGCTGGTGGAAGGTGAGGGGAGGAGCAGGGAGCGGGTGTCCTCCTGGGCGGGTGCCCGGCTGGCAAGCCCTCCCCCTACACTCTGTTTTCCCGGCTCGCCAGGCCCCAGGGAACGGATCTAGGGACACACGTGTGGGTTTAAGCACACAGTGTTCATGGCATACCCGGCCTGGGAGTGACCCCAGGCAGGCGTGGAGTCAGGAGGAAACGTCTTGGTCTTGTTCATTTTTGTGCTTCCCTCCATGTCTCTGTGTTCCTGCAAGGCTTCCCCTCAGACCTCTGCTCCGGCCCCGCCTCCTCAGACCCAGGCCCCGCCTCCTCAGACCCAGGCCCCGCCTCCTAGGCCCAGGCCCCACCTCCTCAGGCCCAGGCTCCACCTCCTTATTAGACCCAGGCCCCACCTCCTCAGGCCCAGGCCCCGCCTCCTTATTAGGCCCAGGCCCCGCCTCCTCAGGCCCAGGCCCCACCTCCTTATTAGACCCAGGACCCACCTCCTCAGGCCCAGGCCCCGCCTCCTTATTAGGCCCAGGCCCCACCTCCTCAGGCCCCACCTCCTTAGGCCCAGGCCCCGCCTCCTTAGGCCCAGGCCCCGCCTCCTTATCAGGCCCAGGCCCCACCTCCTTATTAGGCCCAGGCCCCGCCTCCTTAGGCCCAGGCCCCGCCTCTATAGGCCCAGGCCCCGCCTCCTTATCAGGCCCAGGCCCCGCCTCCTTAGGCCCAGGCCCTGCCTCTATAGGCCCAGGCCCCACCTCCTTAGGCCCAGCCCCGCCCCCTCAGTCCCAGGCTCCGCCTCCTCAGGCCCAGGCTCCGCCCCCTCAATCCCAGGCCCCGCCTCCTCAGGCACCTCTTCCCACAACTGCAGAGCAGGGCCCAACCACAGTCCCAGCCGGGCCAGGCCCTGAATAAGGAGCCACCCCCATGGCACACCTCACCCCTCTCCCCCCCCCCCCCCAGCTCAGGGGAGGAGGGACTCCCCAGAACCGGGGAAGAGAGAGGAGCCGGAGTCGGGCCCGAAGGGGGCCTCGGCGGCACGGCAGCAGGGGCAGTCCCCGGGACCCTCCCAGCCGAGGGTGGCAGGCAGGACCGGCACAGGCAGGGACTCCCTCGGAGAAGGACTGCGAAGGGGACCAGAGGGCCTGGGGGCTCCGTCTGCTGCTCTCTGAGCGGGGGAGGGGCCGCTCCCCTGGGAGGAGGCCTGGGTGGGGGTCCCGCTGGGGGCCCCCCCACCCTGATGGTCCAGTGTCGCTCAGGGCAGAGCCATGGCTTCCTCCGGTCCCCGTAGCATCCTGGCTGCCCAACTACGGGCTCCTAGGCTGTCCCACTGTGTGCTACTGTCATTCCCACTCTGTGCTCCACCGGTGCCATCCCACTGTGTGCTCCTGGCCGCCCCACTGTGTGCTCCTGGCCATCCCACTGTGTGCTCCTGCCCATCCCACTGTATGCTCCTGGCCGCCCCACTGTGTGCTCCTGGCCGCCCCACTGTGTGCTCCTGGCCGTCCCACTGTGTGCTCCTGGCCGCCCCACTGTGTGCTCCTGGCCGTCCCACTGTGTGCTCCTGGCCGCCCCACTGTGTGCTCCTGGCCATCCCACTGTGTGCTACTGTCATTCCCACTCTGTGCTCCACCGGTGCCACCCCACTGTGTGCTCCTGGCCGCCCCACTGTGTGCTCCTGGCCGTCCCACTGTGTGCTCCTGGCCGCCCCACTGTGTGCTCCTGGCCGCCCCACTGTGTGCTCCTGGCCGCCCCACTGTGTAATCCTGGCCATCCCACTGTGTGCTCCTGGCCGCCCACTGTGTGCTCCTGGCCATCCCACTGTGTGCTCCTGGCCACCCCACTGTGTGCTCCTGGCCGCCCCACTGTGTGCTCTGGCCGCCCCACTGTGTGCTCTGGCCGCCCCACTGTGTGCTCCTGGCCGCCCCACTGTGTAATCCTGGCCGTCCCACTGTGTGCTCCTGGCCGCCCCACTGTGTGCTCCTGGCCGCCCCACTGTGTGCTCCACTGGTGCCATCCCACTGTGTGCTCCTGGCCGCCCCACTGTGTGCTCCTGGCCATCCCACTGTGTGCTCCTGGCCGCCCCACTGTGTGCTCCTGGCCGTCCCCTTCCCAGCTCCAGGTCACGCCTTTTTCCCAGAACGCTCTGGGACTGTCCCCCCCCAACATCGCCATCGCCCTGTAAGCTTTCTGGTGTCCAGCCCAGAGGCGGGACCTGAGCCGGAAGCTGGGGATCACCGCTAAGCCTCGTGGTGTGCACCCCCGAAGCCTGGGGCTGTGGGAAGTCTGACACGTGCGGTCCCACCCCCTGACGGAGCCCCCCTCCCCCAGCTCCCTGCTCACCGCTCACCCTCTCTGCCTGCAGCCCGGGTCCAGACCCAGGAGGAGGGCCCCCCGGGGCTGCCCTGCGACGGCGACCCCGGCAGCCAGCCGGCCCTGGCCCCCGCGGGGCCGCCCCAGGACAACGGCCACGCCGTGAGCGCCGGCTCGCCCAGCGGCCAGCCCGCGCCCCACAGCCCCCCGCCGGGGCCCGGCAGCCCCGGCGCCCCCCTCCCCGGCGCCCCCAGGTCCTGGCCGGAGCCCAGCGCCCGGAGGTGAGCGTGGGCCCTGCCGCGGGAGCCGGCTCGGCGTTGGGGGACCCGGGCCAGCCGTCAGCGTGGCGTGTCCGTCATGGGGGGGCGGGTATGGGTTTGTCACCCATGGGTGGGTGGGGTGGGTGGGAGCGTTTTTGTTTAAAGACAGTGACGAAGTTAACAAAGACCCCGAGTGAGTCTCGCTGTGTGGGGTGAGGGGTTGAGCTCCCGTCTCTGTGGGGCCTGGGCTGAGTCCCGCAGGCTCTGGGGGACTGTCTGTCTGTCCGTGAGGCGGGACAGCTGTGTGGCCGAGGGTGCAAGGGCATGCTTCTGACCACTGTGCTCCTGGCCTTCCCACTGTGTGCTCCTGGCCTTCCCACTGTGTGCTCCTGGCTGCCCACTGTGTGCTCCTGGCTGCCCACTGTGTGCTCCCGGCTGCCCAACTATGGGCTCCTGGGCTGCCCCACTGTGTGCTCTTGGCCACCCTACTTTGTACTCCTGGCCACCTCATTGTGTGCTCCACCGGTGTCGTCCCACTGTGTGCTCCTGGCCTTCCCACTGTGTGTTCCTGACTGCCCAACTATGGGCTCCTGGGCTATTGCACTGCGTGCTCCTGGCCGCCCCACTGTGTGCTCCACTGGTGCTGCCCCACTGTGTGCTCCTGGCCGCCCACTGTGTACTCCTGGCTGCCCACTGTGTGCTCCACTGGTGCTGCCCCACTGTGTGCTCCTGACTGCCCTACTGTGTGCTCCACTGGTGTCGTCCCATTGTATACTCCTTGGCTGTCCCACTGTGTGCTCCTGGCCATAATACTGTGTGCTCCTGGCCGCCCACTGTGTGCTCCTGGCCGCCCCACGGTGTGCTCCTAGCTGCCCCACTGTGTGCTCCTAGCTGCACCACTGTGTGCTCCACTGGTGTCATCCCACTGTGTGCTCCTAGCTGCCCCACTGTGTGCTCCACTGGTGTCATCCCACTGTGTGCTCCTGACTGCCCCACTGTGTGCTCCTGGCCGCCCCACTGTGTGCTCCTGGCTGCCCCACTGTGTGCTCCACTGGTGTCATCCCACTGTGTGCTCCTGACTGCCCCACTGTGTGCTCCTAGCTGCCCCACTGTGTGCTCCACTGGTGTCGTCCCACTGTGTGCTCCTGGCCTCCCCACTGTGTGCTCCTGGCCAGCCACTGTGTGCTCCTGGCCGCCCGCTGTGTGCTCCTGGCTGCCCCACTGTGTGCTCCTAGCTGCCCCACTGTGTGCTCCACTGGTGCCATCCCACTGTGTGCTCCTGGCCGCCCCACTGTGTGCTCCTGGCTGCCCCACTGTGTGCTCCACTGGTGTCATCCCACTGTGTGCTCCTGACTGCCACACTGTGTGCTCCTAGCTGCCCCACTGTGTGCTCCACTGGTGTCGTCCCACTGTGTGCTCCTGGCCTCCCCACTGTGTGCTCCTGGCCAGCCACTATGTGCTCCTGGCTGCCCGCTGTGTGCTCCTGGCACCCCACTGTGTGCTCCTAGCTGCCCTACTGTGTGCTCCACTGGTGTCATCCCACTGTGTGCTCCTGGCCGCCCCACTGTGTGCTCCTGGCTGCCCCACTGTGTGCTCCTAGCTGCCCCACTGTGTGCTCCACTGGTGTCATCCCACTGTGTGCTCCTGACTGCCCCACTGTGTGCTCCTGACTGCCCCACTGTGTGCTCCTGGCCGCCCGCTGTGTGCTCCACTGGTGTCATCCCACTGTGTGCTCCTGGCCGCCCACTGTGTGCTCCTGGCCGTCCCACTGTGTGCTCCTGGCCTCCCCACTGTGTGCGCCTGCACCGAGAGGCCACAACAGCACCTGTGAGCGGGGGAGAGGCTGTGCCTGGGTGAGCATCCTGTCCCAGGGGACACCCAGCGCCGCAGTGAGACCTCCCGGCGCCACAGGAGCCGCTCCGGGGCCCGGTGGCGGGGGACGGGGAGCCCCGGCCGCACCCGTGACCACCCCGTCCCACAGGCGCCCCCGCGGTCCGCGGGGCGGCCGGCCCAGGAGCAGGCCCCGCGCCCCGGCCACGTCTGCAAGGCGCATGGAGGATGTGCACCGCGAGGATGTCCCGCGGGGCCGCGAGCGCATGCGTCCGGGGGGCGCGGCCCCCGGCTACCACCTGGCCCACGAGCGGGACCCCCGCGCGGACTCGCACCCGGTGCTCTGGCCCCAAGGCCACTTCAAGGTCGTCGCCTCGGGGGCCCTGGTGGGGGTGGAGGCGTGCCCCAGGAGCATGCGCTGTGCGCCAGGGGCCCCCCAACGTGCAGGCTCCCCAGGGCTGAGCGACAGCGAGGAGGAGCCCCTGAGGCCTCTGCACGCCCGCTCCCTGCGCGGCCTGCCCGGGGCCCCCCACTTCTGTGCTGGCAACGGGCCCAGCAGCTGGGGCTGGGGGCACGCCCTGTCTTGGGACGAGGGTTTTGGGGATCCCCTGGACGCTGCTCCAAGGTCTGTGCAGAAGAAGCCGCGCCCCCGGAACGCCCCGCACCCCCACGCCCCGCTGCGGCCCAGGGGGAACCCCCAGTCCCAGCCGCCCCTCGCGGAATCGGACTCGCTGTCGGCGTCCAGCAGCGACGGCGCCGACCAGTACCTGCAGGTCAGCCGGCCGCCCCGGTGCGCGCGCCCCGCGGGGGGCCCGGGCCAGGCCCCCGGGAGGTGGGAGCGCGCGGATCTGAGCGGCCTGGTCTGCTCACGCGTCTAGCGGGGCTCCCGGTGCTGGGGTCCCCGAGATCAGAGCCCCCCGCCCCTCCCTTCCCGAACTGTGTGCTCCTGGCTGCCCAACTATGGGCTCCTTGGCTGTCCCACTGTGTGCTCCACTGGTGCCATCTCACCATGTGCTCCTGGCCACCCCACTGTGTGCTCCTGGCCATCCCAGTATGTACTCCTGGCTGCCCCACTGTGTGCTCCACTGGTGCCATCCCACTGTGTGCTCCTGGCGCCCACTGTGTGCTCCTGGCTGCCCCACTGTGTGCTTCACTGGTGCCATTTCACCGTGTGCTCCTGGCCACCCCACTGTGTGCTCCTGGCCACCCCACTGTGTGCTCCTGGCCATCCCACTATGTACTCCTGGCTGCCGCACTGTGTGCTCCACTGGTGCCATCCCACTGTGTGCTCCTGGCTGCCCACTGTGTGCTCCACTGGTGCCATCCCACTGTGTGCTCCTGGCTGCCCCACTGTGTGCTCCTGGCTGCCCCACTGTGTGCTCCTGGCCATCCCACTATGTACTCCTGGCTGCATTGTGTGCTCCACTGGTGCCATCTCACCATTGCTCCTGGCTGCCCCACTGTGTGCTCCTGGCCGCCCCACTGTGTGCTCCGTCCAGCAGCGACCTGTAGAGCGGCTGATCGCAGGAGACGCTGTGTTTGGGGAAGTGGGGGTCTCCTGTATTGGAGGAGGGGAGGGTCCCCTCGTTTCCAAGACACCAGCCCTCGCCCCGTCAGGAGCCCGCCTCCCTGGAGTCTGTGCTTGTCCGGATCCCGCAAACAGGCTGTGGGTGCCTGGATCCTGCAGCATCCTCCCCATCAGCCCGGGGGTGGCACCGCCTGCATGGGCTCGTGACTGGCCCCTGTGCCTGTCAATCAGGCTGGACACCCAGCGCGTCTGGGGGTGGCGGGACCTGCCAGGTTTCCCGCCCCTGGAACCTCGAACCTCTCGAAGGTCAGGCTTCGGGCTCAGCGGGACCCAGGACCTCCGAGGTCTCCCCCTCAGCTCTGCTCCTGCCTCTGCCTGTGCTCTCCTGGGGCCGCGGGTTCCAATCCCCGGCCCCGCCCACCAGGTCTTCCCTGGAAGCTGACCCCCCTCCGCGCTGTGGGTCCCATGGCAGATTAGCCGGCCGTCCGCCCTCCTGTTTCCACGGCAACCATCACTCCTCCGTGCCTCCGGCCCCTGACTGAGCAAGGGGTCAGGGGGGGGAGGCACACCCCAGTGGCTGGCACCTAAGACAGGAAGCGATCTGGAATGCCAGGGGCACCCTTGCATCCCGCACCTGTGCCAGGGGCTGGGCCCCCGGCTCCGGGGACGCCCCACAGCTCTGGGGGCGGCCTTGCCTCTGGGGCGGGCGGTGCAGGGTGTGAGGGGAGAGCGCGGCCCAGCAGGCCCTGCAGGGTTCCCGCACGCGGGCCCGGCCAGGACACACCCGGCCGCAGCACCCAGTGCCTTTCGCAACAGCTGGGCGCGCCTGCCCGACGGGTCCACACACGCGGGCCAGCAGGCGCCTGGCGGGCCAGCACTCGCTTTGCTTGTAGCAGCAGCAGCAATAGCAGAGGCAGGGTGACAGCGGCACGGTGACGGCACAGTGATAGTGTCCCGGATGTTACAGGGGCCACCAAAGTCCACCCCCTCTAGTCTCACGTCCCCCCCTCCCACCACCACTGCCGAGAGTTTGGTGTGTGTCCCTTCAGTTTGTGGAGCATAGTCACATACACGTGTACATGTGTGTCGTGTGTGTCGTGTGGGAAATGTATATGTTATACGTGTGTGTGTGAAAATATCTCATAGACACGAGTGTAAATGGATGCTATATGTGTGTAGATGTCCATGGGATGTGTGTAAACATACACGTTATGTGATTGTGTGAATGTACATGTTACACACGTGCGTAAATATGTCATACATGAGTAAATGTATGCTATAAACCTGTGTAGATGTACGTGTTATATGTGCATATAAATGTACATGGTATTAAAGTATGGGTAAATGTGTGCTATATACCTGTGTAGATGTACACGTTACATGTGTATCTAAATGTACACGTTATAAAAGCATGTGTAAATGTGTGCTATATACCTGTGTAGATGTCCGCATTACATGTGTGTATAAATGTACAGGTTATATGTGCGTATATAAATGTACATGTTATATAAGTATGTGCAGATATAGGATACATGTGTAGATGTACGTGTTATATGTGTATACATGTACATGTTATAAACTATGTGAGAATGTATGCTGTGTACAGATGTACATTTGTGTGTGTGTAATATAAATGTACATGTTATATAAGTATGTGTGGATATATGCTATATACCTGTGTAGATATATGTGTTATCTGTGTGTATAAATGTACATGTTATAAAAGTATGTGTAAATGTACACTACATATGTGTACAGGTGTACATGTTATATGCGTATACATGTATGTGTGTATGTAAATGTACACGTTATGTGTGTTTATATAAATGTACATGTTATATGTGTGAATGTATGCTATATATGCAGGTGTACATGTCATACACGTGCGTGTAAATGTACATGTTATATAAGTATGTGTGAATATATGTTATGCATACGTGTATATACATGTTATATGTGTATAAATGTATATGTGTATATAAATGTACGTGTTATGTGTGTACGTGTTCTGTACATATGTGTGTAGACATACCTATATGCGCAGAGGCATCCGTAAATGTGCACACGCCTGTGCTTAGCTCAGCAGATCTGTCACATGCACACACGTGTGTGGGGCCCGCTGGGGACAGACAGAGCAGCTCATTCATGCGGAAAGTGTCCCCTGCCCACCGCTTCCCATCGGCAGGCATGGAAGTCACCTGTGCAGGTGCCAGCCCCCAACTCTGCCCCCCACGGCCCTGCTGCCCCAGGACGGCCCCGCAGGCAGGGGCGGGGACCGTTCCCCTCTGGTCGCCACGAGGCTGGTGTGGCCCGCCGGGTGGGACCTGCCTCCACATGGTCTGAAGGAACTTCGTTTCCTGGGTCCGCGCCCGCCCGGCTCGGTCCGCAGCGGCCAGAGGGGCAGGGGGAGGGAGCACGCACCTGCGGGAGGGGGTGGAGAGGGGGGAGGACGGGGGCTGACGGGGCCCTCCTGCTGTCGGCGGGAGGGAGTCAGAGGCAGTGAGGATGGGAGCCGCCTGTTCAGATCTCTCGCCCCCTGACCGCCTGGGGGACAGGCTCCCCAGGGCTCAGATCGGAGTCTCCACTCATAGGAAGCCTGGGTCCATGCTGAGGGGGCCTCGGGGTCCCCCAGGTCACCCCCAAATTTTGGAATTCCTGAGGGGCAGCAGCTGCAGAGAAAAGCCCTCTGTGGGTCCCTAAGACTCACTTCCCGGGTCTGGGGTGCTCCTGGGGCCCACCCTCCGTGTGTGTGTGTGCGTGTGAGTGTGTGTGTGTGTGTGTGCAAGCGCGAGTGTGTACGTGTGTGTGTGCGCGTGTGTGAGTGTGCATGTGTGTGTGCGTGCGTGAGTGTGTGCGTGCGTGAGTGTGTGCGTGTGAGTGTGTACAGCTGTGCGTTCGTGCATGTGTGCATGCGTGTGTGTTTCTGCTGTACTTTTTATTTTATTTTTTTTAAATATTTTTTTATTGACTTCAGAGAGGAAAGGAGAGGGAGAGAGAGAGAGAAACAGCAATGATGAGAGAGAATCCTTGATTGGCTGCCTCCTGCACGCCTCCCTATTGGGGGGCGGGGGGGGGATTAAGCCCACATCCCGGGCATGTGCCCTTGGCCAGAATCGAACCCAGGACCCTTTGGTCCACAGGCCGACGCTCTGTCCACTGAGCCAAACTGGCTAGGGCTCTGCTGTACTTTAAAAGAACATTTTTTTTTTTTAATTGATTGAGAGAGACAGAGAGAGAAACATCCATGATGAGAGAGAACCATGGGTCGGCTGCCTCCTGCACGCCCCACACTGGGGATGGAGCCCACAACCCTGGCCTGTGCCCGGACCGGGAATCAAACCCGGGACCCTTCAGTCCGCAGGCCGACGCTCTACCCACTGAGCCACACCGGCCAGGGCTGCTCCGCCCTTTGCCCATTGCGGGTCCCACGGTAAACACTGCATCTCCCTGGAGGAAGCGGCAGGCAGAAAGGACAGGAGCAGACATGAACCAGAAGCTGGACGTGTCCGGCCGAGTACCAGCCCTGCGGCCTCCCTCGGACGCTAGGGCGAGCCTCAGTTTCCTGGCCTGGGAAGTGGGGTTGTGGTCCCTGCCTCCTGGTGCCCGGCGCCGCCCTGAGGGGGGAGAGGCACCCCAGGGGTCAGGTGCTGAGGGAGCGGCTGGTGCGTTGCTAAGAAGCAGTCAATAAACACATGCCCCTCCCAGCGCTGCCGCTGGCACCTGCCCAGCTCCCCAGTGTGCACAGAACACGGGCACCACCCCCCTCCATGAGCCGGGCTCCCCACACCTCATCCATCTCAAAAAAAAAAAAAAAAAAAAAAAATATATATATATATATATATATATATATATATAGCCTGTTTCCCCAAAAATAAGACAGTGTCTTCTATTAATTTTTACTCCCAAAGATGCGCTAGGTCTTATTTTCAGGGGATGCCTTATTTTTCCACGAAGAAGAATATGGTACCCATTTATTGTTAAATGAAAATAAAGGACATTTATTACCTGTATACAGTATGGCAGTACGGTCGTGGTCAACACAAACCAGACACACTGTGAATCCTACAGGATCAAGAACTTACTTTTATTCGATGACAATCATGTCATCCTCTTCTGGAACATCATCCTCACAATCCAATTCCTGAATTTCCTGGTGAATTTCTTCTTGTGAATCCATTTCTTTCAGAATCAGTGGGCCAAACCTCTCATGGTTAGCCTGGGGGGGAGGCTTATTTTCGGGGGATGCCTTATATTTCACTCAGAAGGAAACCTGTAAGCAGGTCTTATTTTCGGAGGATGTCTTATTTTCGGAGAAACACGGTATATGCCGAAACTGGTGTGGCTCAGTGGATAGAGCGTCGGCCTGTGGACTGAAAGGTCCCAGGTTCGATTCCGGTCAAGGGCATGTACCTTGGTTGCGGGCACATCCCCAGTGGGGGGTGTGCAGGAGGCAGCTGGTTGATGTTTCTCTCTCATCGATTTTTTAAACTCTCTATCCCTCTCCCTTTCTCTCTGTAAAAAAATAATATATATATTGGTATTGATGTCAGAGAGGAAGGGAGGGGGAGAGAGAGCATCATGGATCGGCTGCCTCCTGCACGCCCCCCACGGGGGATGGAGCCCGCACCCTGGGAGCCTTTGAACCCGGGACCCTTCAGTCTGCAGGCAGACGCTCTACCCATTGAGCCACACCGGCCAGGGCTATGAAGTTATTTTTAAAGTTAAGTGTGAAATACCACTCATCTCCTCTGCAGAGAGCAGACTGCTCCGGTTAGAATGGTCTGCCCCCATCAGCTCCCATTTCCAGCCTGGCCTGGCTGCCCTGAACACCTCGGGGTGCCAACCCCGCCCCCACCCACACCCCGGGGTGGCCCCTAGGGAATATCCGGTATCCACACCCAGGGCGTGTGCACTTACAAGCCTTGCCTTTGCGCGGGAGTGATTGGGTGGGAAAAAACGCACACACAGAAGTTAACTTCTTAATGTTTTACTTTTTAAAAAATATATATATTTTATTGATTTTTTTACAGAGAGGAAGGGAGAGAGCTAGAGAGCTAGAAATGTTGATGAGAGAGAAACATCGACCAGTTGCCTCTTGCACACCCCCCACCGGGGATTTGCCCGCAACCAAGGTACATGCCCTTGGCTGGAATCGAACCTGGGACCTTTCAGTCTGCAGGCCACACTCTATCCACTGAGCCACACCGGTTAGGGCCCAGATCTGATTTTTTTTTTTTTTTTTTTTTAATGTTTAAATCGCTTCATTGTTTTTTGCTTTTATGGCTCTTGGCTCTCCGCCCGGGCCTCGCAGGCCCCGCCCCTTGGGGCCCCGCCCAGCACCAGTATGGGCGGAGCTAGGCTTTGCCGGCCCCGCCCTGGGGTGATGTGTCCTGCCTAGCCGGTCCTGCCAATCTCAGCGCGGGGCGGAGCCGGCCTGGGGGGGGGGAGCTGGACCAATCGGAGGGCAGGATCAGGGCCGGGGGGGCGGGGCTCCGCGCCTGGTGCCTCGGGTCGGGGCGTTTAGGCTTCCGCTGAGCGTTCCCTCCCCTGCAACCCGAAGCCTGGACGCCCCGAGCCCGCGAAGCACCCGCCACCTCCCAGCCCCCCCGGGGCGCGATGGACCCCGCGCTGGCGGCGCAGATGAGCGAGGCGGTGGCCGAGAAGGTGTTCCGGTACCGGCGGGACGAGTCGGGCTGGAAGACTTGCCGGGAAGGCGTGAGTGCAGGCGGGCGGGAGGGAGGGTCCGGGGTTTCCCCGCTGGTGCTGGGGTCCACTAGGCCCGCCGGCTCCTTCTCTCCCTGCTGCTTTGCGTGCTCCCAGCCCTGGCGCTGGATTGAGGAGATTTGGGGAGGGAAGGGGGGTAGAGGGGTGAGTAGAGGACAGGGAGGGGCTCCCCTAAACACACTTGTGCTTGCAAAGGAGGCGTGTGCAGGCTCCTGGCTGAACCTGTCCTAGGTCACCCGACCGGGGCTGGCTGCCCATCACAGGGTGAGCCCCGCCCCCTGCGTGCCCAGTTCCCAGGAGGGTGTCCTGGGCTCAGCCTCTCTCACCTGGCGCTTCCGAGGTTGATTGGACACCAGGGGCCTCCCCTGGGCCGACCCCCCTGGCCTCCCCTCCCTGCCCTGAACCCCGCGCGGTTGTTTGCCTTTTGACAGAACGGAGTGACAGTCTCCTGGAGGCCGTCCACGGAGTTCCCGGGGAACCTGTAAGTGCTCGGGGCTGCCTCACCTCCCCGGGGGACTCGGGGTTCCCTTCCCGGCAGGTGCCAGTCGGCCCCGGCCGGTGTGGCTCAGTGGTTAGAGCGCCGGCCTGCGGACCACCCACCGAAGGGTCCCTGGTTCCATTCCAAGGGTCAAGGGCACATGCCCCACCCCGGGGTTGCAGGCTCCATCCCCAAGGTGGGGCGTTGGCAGGAGACAGCCGATCCATGATTCTCTCTCATCCTGGATGCTTTTTAAATTTTTTATTTATATATATTTTTAATATACATATTTATTATTATTATTATTTATTTATTTATTTATTTTTACAGAGAGGAAGGGAGAGAGAGTTAGAAACATCGATGAGAGAGAAACATCCATCAGCCGCCTCCTGCACACCTCCTACTGGGGATGTGCCCGCAACCAAGGTCCATGCCCTTGACTGGGAATCGAACCTGGGACCTTTCAGACCGCAGGCCGACGCTCTATCCACTGAGCCACACTGCTTAGGGCTATTTGTATAGGTTTTGTTAGTCCTCAGCCCAGGATACTTTTCCATTGATTCTTAGGGAGAGAGGGAAAGACAGAGAAACATCGATGTGAGAGAAACACATCCATGAATTGCCTCCTGCACATGCCCTGACCAGAGCCCGGTCTGGGGAGGAGCCTGCAACCAAGGTACGTGCCCTTGATCGGAATCGAACCCGGGACCCTTTGGCCCACAGGCTACTGTGCTACCCACTGAGCAACACCGGCCAGGGCTCATCATCGATGCTTCTCTCTCTCTCTCCCTCTTCCTTCCTCTCTGAAATCAATAAAAATAGGTTAAAACCAAACAAAACCACCCACACTGGTGTGGCTCAGTGGATAGAGCGTCGGTCTGCAGACTGAAAGGTCCCGGGTTCGATTCTGGTCATGGGCATGGACCTTGGTTGCAGGCACATCCCCAGGTGGGGGGTGTGCAAGAGGCAGCTGATGGATGATTCTCTCTCATCGTTGTTTCTAATTCTCTATCCCTCTCCCTTCCTCTCCGTAAAAAAATCAATAAAATATATTAAAAACAACCAAAACCAAGAAACAAAAAGGTGCCAGTCGGCCCAGCACCCAGCAGCGGACTGGCCAGCTGTCTCTCCAGAAAAGCCGTGATTCTACTAACTCGTTCCCAGCAGCTGCCGAGTTTCCCCGAAAATAAGACATCCCCCGAAAATAAGACCCGCTTACAGGTTTCCTTCTGAGTGAAAGAGAAGGCATCCCCCCCTCCGAAAATAAGGCCCCCCCTAGGCTAACCATGAGAGACTTGGCCCACTGATTCTGAAAGAAATGGAGTCACAGGAAATTCACCAGGAAATTCAGGAATTGGATTGTGAGGATGATGTTCCAGAAGATGATGACATGATTGTCATTGACTAAATGAGTCAATTCTTGATGCTGTAGGATTCACAGTGTGTCTGGTTTGTGTTGACAACTACCGTACTACCGCACCGTATACAGGGAATACATTTCCTTTATTTTCATTGAACAATAAATGTGTACGGTATTCTTCTTCGTGGAGAAATAAGACATCCCCTGAACATAAGACTGAGCGCATCTTTGGGAGCAAAAAAGTAATAAAAGACACCGTCTTATTTTCGGGGAAACAGGGTACCTCATTCCCAGGAGCTACGTCCCTGTCTGCAGGCCGACGCTCTATCCACTGGCCGGAGTGGAGACAGACGTGGCCCCCCTGGTCCTTCCGGATCCTCCCGGGTCAGACGGGCGGATGGGGGCCGCCCCGGTCAGCCCGGTGTCTGTGCTGCAGGTACCGAGGCGAAGGCGTGGTGGACGCGGCCCCGCGAGACGTGTGGGCCTTCGTGAAGCCGTTTCCCGGGAGCCTGCGGGAGACCTGGGATGAGAACGTGAGCAGCTTTGAGGTCATCGAGAGCATCAGTGACGTGAGTGTCCCCGGACGGACCCCGCCCGGGAGTACCTACCCCGTCGATGCCCCAATGAATGAACGATCTGCCTAGATTTCAGTGGGACAAACGCGGGTGACCTGGGGTCAGCAGTAACGGCCTGTCCCCCGGTGCCGCTGGTCGGCGCACCGCGGCTCGCGAGCCACAGGCGGCTCTTTGGCCCCTGGAGGGTGGCTCTTCCACAAAAATAGACTCGCCCACGGCCTGGGCGAGTCTATTTAAAAAATTATATATATATATATTTTATTAATTTTTTTAAAAATATATTTTATTGATTTTTGTACAGAGAGGAAGGGAGAGAGATAGAGAGTTAGAAACATCGATGAGAGAGAGTCATCGACCAGCTGCCTCTTGCACACCCCCTACTGGGGATATGCCCGCAACCAAGGTACATGCCCTTGACCGGAACCGAACCCGGGTCCTCCAGTCCCCAAGCCGACGCTCTATCCATTGAGCCAAACCGGTTTCGGCTATATTTTATTAATTTTTTTACAGCGAGGAAGAGAGAGGGCTAGAGAGTTAGAAACATCGACGAGCCGAAACCGGTTTGGCTCAGTGGGTAGAGCGTCGGTCTGCGGACGGAAGGGTCCCGGGTTCGATTCCGGACAAGGGCATGGGCCTTGGTTGCGGGCACATCCCCCGTGGGGGGTGTGCAGGAGGCAGCTGGTCGATGTTTCTCTCTCATCGACGTTTCTGGCTCTCTATCTCTCTCCCTTCCTCTCTGTAAAAAAAAAATCAATAAAATATATTTTAAAAAAATAAGTGACACCGCTGTGCTGGCTTCGCAGACCCTGTGCGTGACCCGGACCGCCACGCCCTCGGCCGTCATGAAGCTCATCTCCCCGCGGGACTTCGTGGACCTGGCGCTGGCCACGCTGCAGGAGGACGGGGCCCTCATCTCCTGCGGTGAGTGCCCGGCCGGTGGACGCTCCCACCCACTCCCTCCGCACGGGGGCGGGGCCGCCCTGCTCTGTCCAGGGGGGGCAGGCACCACCCTCCACCGTCAGAGACAGCACGGTCAAAGGCCATCGTTTCATTATTTTATTTTATTATTTTTTTAAATATATTTTATTGATTTTTTTTATAGAGAGGAAGGGAGAGAGATAGAGAGTTAGAAACATCGATGAGAGAGAAACATCGACCAGCTGCCTCTTGCACAACCCCTACCGGGGATGTGCCCGCAACCAAGGTCCATGCCCTTGACTGGAATCGAACCCGGGACCCTTCAGTCCGCAGGCCGACGCTTCTATCCACTGAGCCACACTGGATTTGGCTTATTTTATTTTTTAATATATTTTACTGATTTTTCACAGAGAGGAAGAGAGAGGCATAGAGAGTTAGAAACGTCGATGAGAGAGAAACATCCATCAGCTGCCTCCTGCACGCCCCCGACGGGGGATGTGCCCGCAACCAAGGTACGTGCCCTTGGCCAGAATCGAACCCGGGACCCTTCAGTCCGCAGGCCGACGCTCTATCCACGGAGCCACACCGGTTTCGGCTTATTTTATTTTTAAAGTATATTTATTTTGTTTAATTTCAGAGAGAAAGGGAGGAGAGAGAAAGAGAGAGACACATCCGTGATGAGAGCGAATCATGGGTCAGCTGCCTCCTGCACGCCCCCTACAGGGGATGGAGCCTGCAACCCGGGCATGGAATCGAACCTGGGACCCCTCCGTCCACAGGCTGACGCTCTATCCACTGAGCCACACTGGCCAGGGCATATATGTTATGTTTTGTTTTGTTTTTAATTTCTTTATGGGTTATGGTACCACATAGTTATCCTCATCCCCCCATTCCCACCCCACACCCCTCCGCCCATATGCCCCCACCCCCCCTGGTGTCCACGGCCACCGGCCAGGCCCATAAACATGCACACAGGTCCTTTGGTTGTTCTTTCCCCGTTGCCCCCATCCTCCCCTGCCTTCCCGCTGAGGTTGGACAGTCTGATCGCTGCTTCTCTGTCTCCGGGTCATATATTTATATATTTTTTTATCGTTATTTTTGTGAAGCCTCGCCCGAGGAGAATATTTTTCCATTGATTTTTAGAGAGAGAGGAAGGGATGGGGAGAGACAGAGAAACATCCATGATGAGCGAGAATCACGGGTCGGCTGCCTCCTGCATGCCCCACACGGGGGATTGAGCCCGCAACCCGGGCCTGTGCCCTGACCGGGAATCGAACCCGGTACCCCTCCGTCTGCAGGATGACGCTCCATCCACTGAGCCACACCGGCCAGGGCTCCTTGCCGGTTTGGTGGGGAGAGCTGTGTGGGAAGGGCCAGGGGGTGGGGCCTCCGGGGACCCCGGGGTCCGGGTGCGCACTGCAGGGCCGGGCAGGGGGCGGGGGCGTGCCCGGTGTCTCACGGCCCTGCGCCCTGTCTTCCAGCTGCCAACCTGGAGCACCCGCTGTGCCCCCCGCGACCGGGCTTCGTGCGGGGACTGAACCACCCCTGTGGCTGCTTCTGCGAACCCGTGCCAGGGTGAGGGCGGGCTTCTGGGCCAGGGGGCAGGCGGGGGGGGGCAGGGAGGGGGGACAGGGGAGAGGGAGAGGGACAGGGAGGGGGACAGGCAGGAGGGGAGGAAGGACAGGGAGGGGGGACAGGCAGGGGGGACAAGGGAGAGGGGCAGGGAGAGGGGCAGGGAGGAGGGAGAGGAGGGACAGGCAGGAGGGAGAGAGGGACAGGCAGGGGGGACAAGGGAGCGGGGCAGGGAGAGAGGCAGGGAGGGGGGGCAGGGGAGAGAGGCAGGGAGGGGGGACAGGCAGGAGGGAGAGAGGGACAGGCAGGGGGGATAGGCAGGAGGGGAGGAAGGAGAGGGAGGGGGGACAGACAGGGGGACAAGGGAGTGGGGCAGGGAGAGGGGCAGGGAGGGGGGACAGGCAGGAGGGGAGGAGGCACAGGCAGGATGACAGGGAGGAGGGAAGGAGGGACAGGCAGGAGGGAGAGGGGAGAGGGACAGGGAGGAGGGACAGGCAGGATGACAGGGAGGAGGGAAGGAGGGACAGGCAGGAGGGAGAGGGGAGAGGGACAGGGAGGAGGGACAGGCAGGAGGGAGAGGGGAGAGGGACAGGGAGGAGGGACAGGCAGGAGGGAGAGGGGAGAGGGACAGGGAGGAGGGACAGGCAGGAGGGAGAGGGGAGAGGGACAGGGAGGAGGGACAGGCAGGATGACAGGGAGGAGGGAAGGAGGGACAGGAAGGAGGGAGAGGGGAGAGGGACAGGGAGGAGGGACAGGCAGGAGGGAGAGGAGAGAGGGACAGGGAGGAGGGACAGGCAGGAGGGAGAGGGGAGAGGGACATGGAGGAGGGACAGGCAGGATGACAGGGAGGAGGGAAGGAGGGACAGGCAGGAGGGAGAGGGGAGAGGGAGGAGGGACAGGCAGGATGACAGGGAGGAGGGGAGGAGGGACAGGCAGGAGGGAGAGGGGACAGGGAGGAGGCACAGACAGGAGGGAGAGGGAGGAGGCACAGGCAGGATGACAGGGAGGAGGGGAGGAGGGACAGGCAGGGAAGGACCTCGACTGGGATTCTGCTCACAGCGACCCCGCCCCGCCCGGTCCCCTCCGCGATGTGTGCAGAGGCCGGCCCGGGAGAGGCTGTGGGGGTGTCATTCTCCGTGTGGAAGTGGGGACCCTCCCCCTGGCCCAGGCAGCGGGTCCCTCGGAGCAGATGCGAGCTGAGGCCCGGGAGGGGAGGGTCAGGGAAGTGTGCGGGGTCCTCGCTGTGTCCTCTGAGCCCCACCTCCCGGCCTGGGACCCCTGTCCCACAGGCCGGCTCTGAGCACACCCACTGGGTGTCGCCCAGCCCGGGCAGAGCAGTCCCTGCTCTCACAGGGGGTGGCCGGTTTGCACCAGGAGGTTCAGGGTAATAACCTGATGTCACTGGGCCATCCCAGGCACCACCCAGGCTGACAGCCGGCGGGTGGGCAGGTCAGAGGCCCTGCGTGGGGCAGGGTTTGTCCAGAGAGCCTTGGAGGTTGTTAGGTAGAGGGGGGTGGAGGAGGTGAGGGGTCTGGGCATCAAGGAGCAGAGGCCAGGCGGCCAGAGAGCCGTCAGCAGCTCTCTCAGCGGTCCGCACACTTTGTCATCACATACTAACCGACCTTGGAGGCATGGGTCTCTTTCTGAGCGCTCTGCTCTGTCCCATGGGTCTGCGTGTCTGTGTTTAGGCCAGGGCCCAGGCTGTTAGATGACCCTGGACTTGTGGTCAGTTTGAGATCAGGCAGCGGAGACTCCTCCAGCCCTGTCCTTCTTTCTCAGGAGCTCTGTGGCTGTTTGGGCCCATCGGTGGTCCCTATGTACATTTTCGGAGTTAATTTGTTCCCATTCGGTGAAACGTGCCCTCGGTTATCTTGATAGGAACTGCGTTGAATCTGTGGATTTCTTTGGGTCGTGTGGACCGTTTTAATGATGCTAATGCTCCCCATCCATGAACATGGTATGCATTCCCCATCCATGAACATGGTATGCATTCCCCATCCATGAACATGGTATGCACTTCCCATCCATGAACGTGGTCTGTACTTCCCATCCACGAATGTGGTGTGCACTTTCCCATCCATGAACATGGTATGCACTTCCCATCCATGAACATGGTATGCACTTCCCATCCATGAACGTGGTCTGTACTTCCCATCCACGAATGTGGTGTGCACTTTCCCATCCATGAACATGGTATGCACTTCCCATCCATGAACATGGTATGCACTCCCCATCCATGAACATGATATGCACTTCCCATCCATGAACATGGTATGTACTTCTCATCCACGAATGTGGTGTGCACTTTCCCATCCATGAACATGGTATGCACTCCCCATCCATGAACATGGTATGCACTTCCCATCCATGAACATGGTATGCACTCCCCATCCATGAACATGGTATGCACTCCCCATCCATGAACATGGTATGCACTTCCCATCCATGAACATGGTATGCACTTTCCCATCCATGAACGTGGTATGCACTTTCCCATCCATGAACATGGTATGCACTTTCCCATCCATGAACATGGTATGCACTTCCATTTATTTCTATCTTCTTCAATATCTCACAGTTTCCCTGAGTCCAGGTCTTGACCTCTCTCTGGTTACATTAGCGGGTATTTTATTCTTTTTGGTGCCGTGGTAGATGTGACTGTTTTCTTAGTTGGTTATGGGTATGTAAAAAACAACCACCACATGATACTCAACTATTTTTCAGGACTTTAAGAGTTGTTGTCCATGTAGATCACGCATGTCAAACTCACAGCCCACGGGCCACACACGTAGGGCGTGGGCCTCACGTTTGCCATGCTTGATGTGGAGTATAACCATCCATAGTTACTGTGCTTGAAGGTAAAAATGGGAAATGGTTAGAAGGTTTTAAAAAAGTAACACGTTACGTGTTAAGCCATGTTTTCACAGAAAAACGACGGTATTTTTCTAAACCACCACCAAAAGCAGTGAACGGGGTGGCAGTCAATGCCGGACGTAAGCAAAGCCCGGGTCTGCGCCTGTGCCTGACGTGTGGCCCCGAGTGGGAGAGTGAGAGTGACCGTGGCTTTGACCTTCAGATGCCCTTGAAAGGGAGTCAGGAACCCCCAGGGCCCGCAGACAGGAGTGCGAGCCCCGGGTTCGGGGCAGGGGGTGAAGGACCGTCCGGCTGCCGGTGGCCGCGGCGTGGCCCTGGACCCCGCCCCAGCACAGGGGCCCTGCGGGCAGCGGGCCCGGGCCCTCACCCCACGCGCCCTGCCCCCAGGGAGCCGGGCCGGACCCGGCTGGTCGCCTTCTTCCAGACGGACCTGGGCGGGCTGCTCCCGAAGCGCGTGGTGGACGGCTTCTTCCCCCGCAGCATGGCCGGCTTCTACGCCAACCTGCGCCGCGCCGTGAGGTCAGAGTGCCCCCGCCCGCTGTCTGTCTGTCTGCGGCCCCTGCCATGCCCCCCACGTGTCCCCGTCCCCCCGCCATGTGACTCTGTCTCCCCCCTGCGTGCCCCAGTCTCCCCTATGCCCCATGTGTCCCCCATCTCCCCACCACGTGATCCCATCCCCCCTCGCATGTCCCCCACGTGTCCCCGTCCCCCCGCCATGTGACTCTGTCTCCCCCCCTGCGTGCCCGTCCCTCCGTATGCCCCATGTGTCCCCCATCCCCCCACGTGTCCCCGTCCCCCCGCCATGTGACTCTGTCTCCCCCCTGCGTGCCCCAGTCCCCCCTATGCCCCGTGTGTCCCCCATACCCCCACCACGTGATCCCATCCCCCCTCGCATGTCCCCCACGTGTCCCCGTCCCCCCGCCATGTGACTCTGTCTCCCCCCCTGCGTGCCCGTCCCTCCGTATGCCCCATGTGTCCCCCATCCCCCCACGTGTCCCCGTCCCCCCGCCATGTGACTCTGTCTCCCCCCTGCGTGCCCCAGTCCCCCCTATGCCCCATGTGTCCCCCATCTCCCCACCACGTGATCCCATCCCCCCTCGCATGTCCCCCACGTGTCCCCGTCCCCCCGCCATGTGTCTCTGTCTCCCCCCCTGCGTGCCTCAGTCCCCCCTATGCCCCATGTGTCCCCCATCCCCCCACCACGTGACCCCATCCCCCCGCTGTATGCCCCCATACACCCCCGTGTCCCCCACATGTCCCCGTCCCCCCGCCATGTGACTCCGTCTCCCCCCTATGTGCCCCAGTCCCCCCTATGCCCCATGTGTCCCCCATCCCCCCACCACGTGACCCCATCCCCCCGCTGCATGCCCCCCCATTCACCCCCGTGTCCCCCCACATGTCTCCATCTCCCGCCATGTGACTCCGTCTCCCCTCTGCGTGCCCCATCCGCCCCCCCATGCCCCGTACATCCCCCACTGTGGGCCCCTCCTACAGCCCTCGCCTGTGATGGACAGTATTTTCCAAAAACAGCCCAGCACCCCCCCCTCCACCCCACAGGCTGGAGCCGGCGCCGGCAGAGGGCACAGAGGACCCGGGGCCCATCCAGTGACGAGACGCACCGACCGGGTGGTCCGCTGGGGGGCGCCCGCCTGGAGCTCAGCACCCGTGGGGAGAGGCCCCTCTGGGTCCCCTGGCGCCCCAGAGCCGCCCTCCCAGCCGCTCCCCCCACTGCGGGGGGCCAGAGGGTAGCCGCCTGGGGAGTGTGTACAGCAGGACACGGCTCAGTGACAGGTGCAATGCACCCCATTTATCCCATCGCGGGAGCAATGCACCCCATTTATCCCAGCGCAGGAGCAATGCACCCCATTTTATTCCATCGCTGGAGCAATGCACCCCACTTTATCCCATCGCAGGTGCAATGCACCCCATTTTATTCCATCGCGGGAGCAATGCACCCCATTTTATTCCGTCGCTGGAGCAATGCACCCCATTTTATCCCAGCGCAGGAGCAATACACACACCCCACTTGACTCCAGTGTCCGGGGCTCTGTGCATCGTCTGTTTCTGGCCTTCGGGCGCCCCCTGCTGGGCGGTCCCTGCAGGTGCAAGTCCTCCTGCCGGGGCCAAGGCCCAGCCCCTGGCGGCCCGGAGTGACCCTGAGCATCGTTGGCTGCGGCTCCGGCGCCCTCGCGGCGGCGGGCGGCCTACGGGGGCCCGGGGCTCGGGGTCCGCTGCGGCCGCGGGCTCCTCCTCCGCACGCTCACGGGGACCGGGCCGTCGGGCAGCGCCTTGATGAGGCTCCAGGCCTCGAAGCGCGTGAGGCCCTGCGTGGTGGCACCTGCCAGCTGCAGCACCTCGTCCCCCGGCCGCACGCTCTCCGGCCCCGAGGCCGCCCCTGGGGGCGGGGGGAAGGGGGCGGTGAGGGTCCGGGGCGGGACAGGGCCTCCTCCCACCCGGAGGGACAGAGGGACAGGGTCCGAGGCCGCCCCTGGGGGAGGGGAGGGGGCGGTGAGGGTCCGGGGCGGGACAGGGCCTCCTCCCACCCGGAGGGACAGAGGGACAGGGTCCGAGGCCGCCCCTGGGGGGGGGAAGGGGGCGGTGAGGGCTCCAGGGCGGGACAGGGCCTCCTCCCACCTGGAGGGACAGAGGGACAGGGTCCGAGGCCGCCCCTGGGGGGGGGGGGAAGGGGGCGGTGAGGGCTCCGGGGCGGGACAGGGCCTCCTCCCACCCGGAGGGAGAGAGGGACAGGGTCCGAGGCCGCCCCGGGGGGGGAGGGGGAGGCGTGGGCTCAGGGAATGGTGTGGGACAGGTATCACCCGCGGGATGGCTGGAGGGACAGCTGGAGGGGGAGGGACGGCCGGAGGGACAGCTGGAGGAGGAGGGAGGGACGGAAGGATGGACGGAGGGATGGAGAGACAGGGTCCCGAGGCGGCCCCTGGTGGGGAGGGGGAGGCGTGGGCTCAGGGGCCGGGGCGGGACAGGCACCTCCTCCCACCCGGAGGGACGGCCGGAGGGGGAGGGACGGACAGAGGGACGGCGGAGGAGGATGGACGGACGGACAGAGGGACGGTGGAGGGGGATGGACGGACAGAGGGACGGCTGGAGGAGGATGGACGGACGGACAGAGGGATGGCTGGAGGAGGAGGGACGGACAGAGGGACGGCGGAGGGGGAGGGATGGACAGAGGGGGAGGGACGGACAGAGGGACGGCGGAGGGGGAGGGACGGACAGAGGGACGGCTGGAGGAGGAGGGACGGACAGAGGGACGGCGGAGGGGGAGGGACGGACAGAGGGACGGCTGGAGGAGGAGGGACGGCGGAGGGGGAGGGATGGACAGAGGGACGGAGGGACGGCCGGAGGGGGAGGGACGGTTGGAGGGGGAGGGACGGCCGGAGGGGGAGGGACGGAGGTTCGGAGGGACAGCAGGGGGGACGGACAGATGGAGGGATGGCCGGAGGGATGGAGGGACAGCTGGAAGGGGAGGGATGGCCGGAGGGACAGCAGGAGGGATGGAGGGACAGCAGGAGGGACGGAGGGACGGAGGGACGGCTGGAGGGATGGAGGGACAGCAGGAGGGATGGAGGGACAGCAGGAGGGATGGAGGGACAGCAGGAGGGACAGCTGGAGGGACGGCTGGACGGAAGGGTCCCAGACGCACCTGTGAACACCCGGTTGACGGTGAGGGGCCGGTCCCCCTGCAGCGAGCCCCGCCCGCCTTCCAGGCTGAAGCCCAGCCCCGCCGGCGTCTTCTCCAGCGTCAGCGTCAGCGTCTCCACGGCGACCGCGTCCTCCGTTGCTGGGGAGACGGTTGTTAGGGACGCCGGCCCTGGGCCGCGCGCCCTTTGCTGGCCTGTGACCCGCGGGACAGCGGCGCCAGGCGGCCCCCCGCGCCCAGCGGGGACTCACCGGGGTCCGAGGCGGCGTCCCCGGCCGCGGGGGCCGGGGCGGCCGGGGCGGCCGGGGTGGGAGCCTCCGCCGAGGGCCGCGGGCCGGGCGCCGGCCGCCGGGTGACCACCACGGCCTGGCGGGGCTCCCGGGCCTGGCGCAGGATGGCCAGCGCCTGGCTGTGCGTGGCGCCTCTGAGGGACTTGCCGTTGATGGACAGCACCTCGTCGCCCTTCCGGATGGTGCCCTCCTGGGCGGCCAGGCCGCTGGGGAACACCCTGTGGACCTGGGGGGGGCCCGGGGGTCAGGGCGCGGAGGCCGGAGGGCCCCAGGCCCGCATCCCCCCACTCAGCAGCCGGTCCCCCCCTCGTCCCGCCCGTCTCAGCCTCTGGCCCCAGCTGGTCCCCCCGCAGGTCCCCGTCCTGGCTGCCCCAGCCCCAGCCCCCAGGTCACAGGTCACAGGTCACAGCCCCCAGGTCACAGGTCACAGGTCACAGGCCACCTGCCCGGGCGCAGGGCGCACAGCCAGGTCACTGGGACTCAGCGGCTCCCTGGCTGTAACCCCTTCGGGAAGGCGGGTCCCGCTGAGGCCGAGCCCTGGAACTGCTCCTGGGAAGGGCAGCTGCCCTGGGCCCCTCCCGCCTGGCCTCCCGCCTCCCATCCCCCCGGGCCGCGGGCCCCTCCCCTGCCGCTGCCCTCCAGGTCCCTGCCCTCTGGCTCTAACCCTCCCCTGCCCCTGCCCTCCAGGTCCCCGCCCCCTGACCCTAACCTTCCCCTGCCCCCTGCCCTCCAGGTCCCCCCCCCCCCCCCCGGTCCTAACCTCACCTGCCCCTGCCCTCCAGGTCCCCACCCCCGGCCCTAACCCTCCCCTGCCCCCTGCCCTCCAGGTCCCTGCCCTCTGGCTCTAACCCTCACCTGCCCCTGCCCTCCAGGTCCCCCCCCCCCGTCCTAACCTCACCTGCCCCTGCCCTCCAGGTCCCCCCCCCCCCGTCCTAACCTCACCTGCCCCTGCCCTCCAGGTCCCCCCCCCCCCCGTCCTAACCTCACCTGCCCCTGCCCTCCAGGTCCCCACCCCCGGCCCTAACCTTCCCCTGCCCCCTGCCCTCCAGGTCCCCCCCCCCCCCCCGTCCTAACCTCACCTGCCGCTGCCCTCCAGGTCCCTGCCCTCTGGCTCTAACCCTCACCTGCCCCTGCCCTCCAGGTCCCCCCCCCCCCCGGTCCTAACCTCACCTGCCCCTGCCCTCCAGGTCCCCCCCCCCCCGTCCTAACCTCACCTGCCCCTGCCCTCCAGGTCCCCGCCCCCTGACCCTAACCTTCCCCTGCCCCCTGCCCTCCAGGTCCCCCCCCCCCGGCTCTAACCCTCCCCTGCCCCCTGCCCTCCAGGTCCCCCCCCCCGGCCCTAACCCTCCCCTGACCCCTGCCCTCCAGGTCCCCGCCCCCTGACCCTAACCCTCCCCTGCCCCCTGCCCTCCAGGTCCCCCCCCCCCGGCCCTAACCCTCCCCTGACCCCTGCCCTCCAGGTCCCCGCCCCCTGACCCTAACCCTCCCCTGCCCCCTGCCCTCCAGGTCCCCCCCTCCTCGGCCCTAACCCTCCCCTGACCCCTGCCCTCCAGGTCCCCCCCCCCCCGCCCTAACCTCCCCTGCCCCTGACCTCCAGGTCCCCGCCCCCTGGCTCTAACCCTCCCCTGCCCCCGGCCCTCCAGGTCCCCGCCCCCTGGCTCTAACCCTCCCCTGCCCCCGGCCCTCCAGGTCCCCGCCCCCTGTCCTCCCTCTGCCCCTCACCGTGACCCCTGCTCCAGGCCCCGCCTCCTCCCCCTCGCCGTGACCCCTGCCCTCCAGGTCCCCTGCCCCCTGCCCCTCACCGTGACTCCTGCCCCAGGCCCCGCCCACTCACCGTGACCTCCCTGCTCTCCAGGCCCCGCCCACTCACCGTGACCCCTGCCCTCCAGGCCCCCTGCCCCTCACCGTGACCCCTGCCCCAGGCCCCGCCCACTCACCGTGACCCCTGCCCTCCAGGCCCCCTGCCCCCTGCCCCTCACCGTGACCCCTGCCCCAGGCCCCGCCCCTCACCGTGACCCCTGCCCCAGGCCCCGCCCCTCACCGTGACCTCCCTGCTCTCCAAGCCCCGCCCACTCACCGTGACCCCTGCCCTCCAGGCCCCCTGCCCCTCACCGTGACCCCTGCCCCAGGCCCCGCCCACTCACCGTGACCCCTGCCCTCCAGGCCCCCTGCCCCTCACCGTGACCCCTGCCCCAGGCCCCGCACACTCACCGTGACCCTTGCCCTCCAGGTCCCGCCCCCGCCCACTCACCGTGACCCCTGCCCCAGGCCCCGCACACTCACCGTGACCCCTGCCCTCCAGGTCCCCGCCCCCTGCCCCTCACCGTGACCCCTGCCCTCCAGGCCCCCTGCCCCTCACCGTGACCCCTGCCCCAGGCCCCGCACACTCACCATGACCCCCGCCCCAGGCCCCGCCCACTCACCGTGACCCCTGCCCCAGGCCCCGCCCCTCACCGTGACCTCCCTGCTCTCCAGGTCCGCGCCCCCCGCCAGGCTGAAGCCCAGGCCGGCGCCCTCCTCCTTGTGCAGGACGGTGACGTGGATGCTCTCCAGCTGCTGCGGGGAAGCGGGGGGCTGGGTCAGAGGGTTCCGGGGGCCCCCTCCCCCTCCCCCCTCTCTCCCCGCTCCCCCCGCTCCCCCCGCCCCACGGGGGCGCGGCAGTACCCCGCGGGGTCCAGCCGCCTCCCCACCCCCCGCACCTGCGCCCCCGCCCACGGCACCCCCCTGGGCCTGCCCTGCTCCCGGTCCGGGGTCCCAGGCGGGGCGTGGGGGGCCCTGGGGACCCGGAGCCTCCGCGGGCCAGCGCCCACTTCCCGTGGGAAAAGGAGAAGCGAGACGCCAGGGGTTCCGGCTTCGGAGGCCGCCCTGCGGGCCAGGTCCCTGCACCTGCAGGCCACGCGGCTCCGCGGCCGCCAGGTGGCGCCCCAGAACCCCAGACAGGACGCCAGCAGCCCGTGGGAAGCGGGATTTTCAGGGGCTGAAGCGGGCGGCCCTGGGAGGCCCCTGGGGTGCAGGGGAGGAGGCCCCGTGGGAGCTCAAAACGCGCAGGGGTGGGGGTGGGGCGGCCCTGGGACAGGAAGGGGCCCCACGGAGCGGAGCGGGCTCTGCGGCCTGAGCCTCGCCTCTGCACAGGGAGCAAGTGGGAGAGCTTTGCATGAGCTGGCCCGGGTCCCAGCACGGGCCCCAGCCTCCAGGGGTCCCCCAGGTGCAGGGGCCCCGGGTTCCTGACCTGGGCTGCAGCTCTCACCCCGGGGTGCACCCCCTGCCCCCCACCCCCTACCCCCCGCCCGGGCCTGCCTCTGCGGCCACCGGCGACCAGAAAGCGCGTGGGAAGCGGGACTTTCAGGGGCTGGAGGGCCCCTGGGGTGCAGGGGAGGAGGCCCCGTGGGAGCTCCAGACCTGCAGGGGTGGGGAGAGGGGCCCTGGGACAGGAAGGGGCCCCGCCGAGCGGAGCGGGCTCTGCAGCCTGAGCCTCACCTCTGCTCAGGGATCAAGCAGGAGAGCTCTGCATGAGCTGCACCCCAAGCCCGGCCCCCCCAGTTCCCCCCCAGGCTGCGTCCCCAATGGGACGGGGGCGCCCACCTGCAGCGCGGCGGCGTCCAGCTCCTGCACCTCCTCCAGCAGCTCCCGCAGCTCCTCCGCGCTCAGCAGCGCCAGCACCGCCTGGCCGGCCGCGGGGGCGCAGGCCGTGGCCTCCGGGGGCTCCCTCAGCTCCCCCAGGCCCTCCGAGTACCCCCTCAGCTCCGAGAGGCTGCGGGGGGCGCACAGGGGGGTCAGGGGCTCCCCCAGGCCCTCCGAGTACCCCCTGAGCTCCGAGAGGCTGCGGGGGGTGCACAGGGGGGTCAGGGGCTGCCCCAGGCCCTCCGAGTACCCCCTGAGCTCCGAGAGGCTGCGGGGGGATGCACAGGGGGGTCAGGGGCTCCCCCAGGCCCTCCGAGTACCCCCTGAGCTCCGAGAGGCTGCAGGGGGGTGCACAGGGGGGTCAGGGGCTCCCCCAGGCCCTCCGAGTACCCCCTGAGCTCCGAGAGGCTGCGGGGGGGGTGCACAGGGGGGTCAGGGGCTCCCCCAGGCCCTCCGAGTACCCCCTCAGCTCCGAGAGGCTGCATGGGGGCGCACAGAGGGGTCAGGGGCTCCCCCAGGCCCTCCGAGTACCCCCTCAGCTCCGAGAGGCTGCATGGGGGCGCACAGAGAGGTCAGGGGCTGTCCCCAGGCGGGGCGCTGAGCCTGGGCGCGTCCTGTTGCCATGGCAACAAGCCTGCTCTTTTGGGGGGGCCCTCAGACACCTCCCTGGTGGCCTGGTGGGGGTTTAGGGACAGCGGGCAACTCGTGGGCCCACAGGGGTGCCAGGTGAGGTCCCTGGGGCCCCACCGGCCAACGGGGCTCAGCACAGTCACTACAGGGGTGCCCCCAGCTGGTCATGGGGGGGCTCACTCAGTACAGGGGTGCCCCAGCCGGCCATGGGGGGGCTCACTCAGTACAGGGGTGCCCCCAGCCGGCCATGGGGGGGCTCACTCAGTACAGGGGTGCCCCAGCCGGCCATCGGGGGGCTCACTCAGTACAGGGGTGCCCCAGCCGGCCATCGGGGGGCTCACTCACTACAGGGGTGCCCCAGCCGGTCAATGGGGGTTCAGCTCACTCCCTACAGGGGCGTCCCTGCCAGGATGGGGGGCCTGGTCCCCCCCAGGCCAGGCCTGCACACAGCGCTGTCTGTGACGGGGGGAGGGGAGAATGAAGGAAGTTGGGGAGCGCAGAGTCCCCGCGAAGGAGGGCGGAGTGAATGGGGCCGCCCAGCTCTGGGGCCAGCGTGGCCACTGGCTCATGTGACCCGGGAGGAGCCTGAGTGAGGCCGGGGAGGGCGGGCCGGGGTCATGACCTCCCGTCCAGGGGAGGAGCCCCTGTGCAGGGGCAGCAGGAACCCCAGGGGGCACCCCTGGCCGCCTGGGCCTCCTGGGCAGGTGAGGGACGGTGTGTCCCTGAGGGGGGCATCCGAGCTGCCTCCCCCCCACTCGGCCTGTCCTGGGGCAACACCTCCTCAGCAGGGAGGCTGAGCTGCCCCTCCCTCCCCCCACACGCACACATGCACACACGCACATGCATGTGTGCACACACGCACAGCACTCACAAGCACATATGCATGCTCACATGCACACGTGCATGCATATAAATGCAAAGTGCTAACACGAGCACATACATGCAAGCACGCGCACACCCATGTGTGTGTATGTGTTCATGTGTGCGCATGCACGTGCATATGTGTATACACAGTATGTGCACACGATGCACTCATGTGTACACACATGCACGTGTGCGTGCAAAGTGCTCATACGAGCACACATATACATGTATACGTGCATGCACACCCGTGTGTGTATATACGTGCATGGACACACATGCATGTGTATTTATGAACACATAAATGTGCGTGAACATGCATTATGTGCATGCACACAAAGCACTGTGTGTGTGCACATGCGTGCACACACATGCAGCCGTGCACACGGACAGGAGGGGGAGGCGGGTGGGGGGCACCTTACTTGAGAGAGAACCCGGAGTCCGTGCTGCCGGCGGCGGGGTCCGGGTCCGGGCCTGGGGAGGCCTCTGCAGGCGCGCGGCCGCAGGGGCTGCCGGGGGCGGAGGCCGGGCGGCCCAGCAGGGAGCGCAGGACGGCGCAGGACACGCGGCCGCTGAGCGCGCGGAGCGGGCAGGCCCCGTCCCCCGTGTCCGCGTCCAGGGAGCGCGCGCGGCTCAGCGGGAGGCTGCGGGCCCGCCGCCCGGGGGGCCGGAGCTCCGGGGGGGCCGGGGTCCCCCCTGCACCCCCGTCCCCGGGGGCCGGCTGCTCCGCGGCGGGGGGCGCCCCTGGGTCCCCAACGCCGGGCCCCCCGCCTCCCGGCCCCCCGGGGGGTTCGGGGGCCTCGGCCCGGGGCCGGGGGGGCTGCAGGCTGGGTCTCGGGGCGGCCTGGGGGGGCGGCGGGGAGCACCCCAAGGTCTCAAAGGAGCTGATTCTGTGGCGGATGGAGCCGAGGGACCTGGAGGCGGCGGCGGGGGGCTTCCCGGGGGCGGCGGCGGGGGGCTCCCCGGGGTCCGGGCCCTGGGCCCGCAGCCTCCGCAGGCTCTGGCGGAACCAGGCGGGTTTGGGGGCCACGGGGGGGCCCTTCTTCACGGCGCCGCTGCCCGTTGGGGGAGCCCCGGGGCCCATGTCCAGGGGCCGGGGGGCGCCGTCCGCGGGGCCCGGGGACCCGGCCTCGGGGGGGCCGTGGCCGTGACCTTGGCCGTGGCCGTGGCCGGGGCCGTCGCTCATGCCGGGGCTGAAGAGGCTCCGGATGCAGCCGGAGATCCGCACCCACGGGTCCTCCGCGCCCTCGGGGGGCCGTGCGGGGGGCGGCGGGGTCCCTGCGGACAGAAACGGGTGCGGGTTTGGGGGCGCCTGCCCAGGGCCCCCCCCAGAGGCCTGGCTCCCAGGGAGGGGGGCAGGGCGGCGGCGGCGGAGGGGCAGGAGGGGGGACCCGTGGGCAGGAGGGGGGACCCGTGGGCAGGAGGGGGACCCCGTGGGCAGATTGCGGGGCCCTGGGGACGGGAGGCCTCTCCACTCAGGGGGACCCCTGGTCCTGCCCCCAGGCCACACCCCCATCTTCCTGGCTCTCGGGCACCAGGTCTGCACGCGGGTCCCAGGCCCGGCCTCACTCAGCAGCGGGGGACACACTCCCTAACCTGCTCTCCCCTCTCCCCACCACGTGCTCACCACCTTCCTCCCCTGGAACCCCGATCACCCAGCAGACACCCCGACCACCTACCAGACACCCCGACCACCCACACAAACACCCCGATCACCCAGCAGACACCCCGATCACCCACACAGACACCCCGACCACCCAACAGACACCCCGACCACCCACACAGACACCCCGACCACCCAACAGACACCCCGACCACCCACACAGACACCCCGATTACCCAGCAGACACCCTGATCACCCAGCAGACACCCCGATCACCCACATAGACACCCGACCACCCACACAGACACCCCATCACCCAGCAGACACTCCGACCACCCAGCAGACACCCCATCACCCACACAGACACCCCGATCACCCTCACAGACACCCCAACACCCACACAGACACCCCGATCACCCAGCAGACACCCCGATCACCCACCAGACACCTCGATCACCCACACAGACACCCCGACCACCCACACAGACACCCCATCACCCAGCAGACACTCCGACCACCCAGCAGACACCCCATCACCCACACAGACACCCCGATCACCCACACAGACACCCTATCACCCACACAGACACCCCGATCACCCAGCAGACATTCCGACCACCCAGCAGACACCCCGATCACCCATCAGACACCCCGACCACCTACACAGACACCCCGACCACCCACACAGACACCCCAATCACCCACAGACACCCCGATCACCCTCACAGACACCCCAACACCCACACAGACACCCCATCACCCAGCAGACACTCCGACCACCCAGCAGACACCCCATCACCCACACAGACACCCCGATCACCCTCACAGACACCCCAACACCCACACAGACACCCCGATCACCCAGCAGACACTCCGACCACCCAGCAGACACCCCATCACCCAGCAGACACCCCATCACCCACACAGACACCCCGATCACCCACCCGACACCCCGATCACCCACCCGACACCCCGATCACCCACCAGACACCCCGATCACCCACCCAGACAGGAGGCCCCACCCCGAGGGTACCCAGGTGCCCGCTGCCTCCACCCCATGGCTCCTGCCTCCCCGCCTGCCCGCCCGCCTGCCCGCCTCCCCCATCGCCACCTGCAGGCGGTGGGTCCCGGGTCCCACTGGGTCCCCGCTCCGTGGCCTCTGCAGGCCCCCCTCCTGGGGGCTCCCGTCCTACCTGGGCTGCCACCGCCTCGGCTCCCCGGCCCGGCCACCTCGGGGCCCGCCGGCTGCAGGCCGCCCAGGGGTCCGGGGCAGCGGGCGAGGGCAGGGGGCACTCCGGCCGCCGTGACTTCCTGCGCCGGCGGCAGCGGTGGCAGCAGCTGGCTGGCTTCCTGTGGCGTAAACAGGAAGCAGGACGGTGTCAGAACGGTGGCCTCGGGGTGCGAGAGAGAGGCGAGCGAGGGAGGGCCCGGCGGGAAGTCCCAGCGCCCGGTGGGTGCGCAGGGTACCAGGTGCTGTGGGCGCCGGGCCTCAGGCCTCACCCCTGCTCGGCCTCTGGTTGTATCGGGGTGTTTTGTGCTATTTTTATAGAAAACAAAGGTAGTATTTTTAAAAATATATTTTATTGATTGTTTACAGAGAGGAAGGGAGAGGGAGAGAGAGCGAGAAACATCGATGAGAGAGAAACATCCATCAGCTGCCTCCTGCACACTCCTCCACTGGGGATGTGCCCGCAACCAGGGTCCATGCCCTTGACCGGAATCGAACCCGGGACCCTTCAGTCCACAGGCCGACACTCTTTCCAAGGAGCCACACCGGCCAGGGCTAAAAGTGGTCTTTACACACTCATCCTTGTGGCAGAAATAGCAGGATCTAAAGAAATGTATGGGGCCCTAACCGGTGTGGCTCAGTGGATACAGCGTCGGCCTGCGGACCGAAGGGTCCCGGGTTCGATTCCGGTCAAGGACATGTACCTTGGTGGCGGGCACATCCCCAGTGGGGGGCGTGCAGGAGGCGGCTGGACAATGATTCTCTCTCATTGACGTTTCTAGCTCTCTATCCCTCTCTCTTCCTTCTTCTTTGTAAAACATCAATAAATTATATATTTTTAAAAAGGGGGTAAAACAGCTGATGTGGCTCAGTGGATAGAGCGTCAGCCTGTGGACCGAAGGGTTCGATTCCGGTCAAGGGCATGTGCCTTGGTTGCGGGCACATCCCCAGTGGGGGGCGTGCAGGAGGCAGCTGGTCGATGTTTCTCTCTCATCGATGTTCCTAACTCTCTCTCTCCCTCTCCCTTCCTCTCCGTAAGAAAACATCAATAAAATATATTTGAAAGATAAATAAATAAAAAGAAAGAAAGGAACGTATGGGGAACGTGCTTCCGCGACGGGGTCAGACCCACACTTCCCGGGTCATTCCTGACGGGACCACAGGTACGGAGGCCGGCGGGGCAGGAACAAATGCCGGCATGGTCATCGCGGGCACCGCGCGGACAGGGTTCGCCAAACCATAACGGTTAACGTGTGAATGGATGCTCCGTAGGACCCCGTCTGCACCTGCTCCTGTGCCCGCCGGCCCGCTCCCTTGGGTGACCTTGGGTGGGGTCAGGTGGGGTCAGGTGAGCTCGGGTGGGGTCAGGTGGGCTTGGGTGGGCTCGGGTGGTTTCGGGTGACCTGGGGTGACCTGGGGTGACCTTGGGTGCGCTCGGGTGGGTTGGGGTGAGCTCGGGTGAGGTCAGGTGGGTTGGGGTGGGTTTGGGTGGGTGTGGGTGGGCTCGGGTGGGCTCGGGTGACCTGGGGTGGCCTGGGGTGACCTTGGGTGCGCTCAGTGCACCCAGCTCTGCAGAAGCTGCTGCACCCTTCCCCCCCTCCCTGGGCCCCCGGCTCACCCTTCAGCCCGCACCTCCCGCTGCCGTCTTCCCAAGCCCCTCAAACTCGGGGCTCCCTGGGCTCCCCCAAACCAAGGGGGCCAGAGTCCGCGCTGGGCGCTCACCGGGGCGGGGGCCGCGGGGGCCGCCCTGCAGCTGCTCCGGGGCGGGGGCGGGGGCGGGGGCCGGGCGGCCGCGGGCCTCCTCACCAGCACCGTCCTGGGCGGCGGGCTCTCCCCGGGGCACCCGCACGCGCAGCCGCCGTCGCTGCTGGAGCGCACCATGGCCTGCGGGCGGCGCTGCGGGGGCGCCGAGCCCCTCCCGGCCCGCTCGGCCGGCCGCCCGTGCCAGCTGCCCTCCGGCCGCACCGCGCCTGCGGGGGGGGGGGAGCTGAACCCAGCCTGGGGCCACACCCTGTACCCCCACAGCACCCCGCCCCCCGTCCCCAGCCAGCACCCCGCCCCCAGCCAGCACCCTGTCCTCAGGGCCAGCACCCCGCCCCCCCCAAAGCCAGCACCCCGCCCCCAGCCAGCACCCCGCCTCCCCAAAACCAGCACCCCGCCCCCAGCCAGCACCCCGTCCTCAGGGCCAGCACCCCGCCCCCCCACAGGCAGCACCCCGTCCTCAGGGCTAGCACCCCGCCCCCCCACCGGCAGCACCCCGTCCTCAGGGCCAGCGCCCCGCCCCCCCACCCAAAGCCAGCACCCCGCCCCCCTGAACACATGATCATCCGGCCACTCCGTGTCTGTCCTACAGAATAAAAGGCTCATGTGCACATGGTCCCCTCGGCCAGGAGTCCGACCAGCAGGCAGGCCGGCCAACCGCCCATGTCCCCTCCCCCTGGCCAGGTTGGCCGGACCCCACCCATGCACGGATGCATGCACCGGGCCTACACACACACACACACACACACACGCACACAGACTCACATACATACAGACACACACACAGACTCACACACATACACACAGAGACACACACACAGAGACACACACACAGAAACTCACATACACACACAGACACACACAGACACACACACATACATACACACAGACACACACACAGAGACTCACAGACACATACTCACATACATACACACACAGAGAGACACACACAGACTCACACTCACATAGATACACACACAGAGACTCACATACATACACACAGACACACTCACATACATACACACACACATACACACACAGACACACACAGAAACTCACAGACACATACTCACATACATACACACACAGAGAGACACACACAGACTCACACTCACATAGATACACACACACAGAGACTCACATACATACACACAGACACACTCACATACATACACACACACATACACACACAGACACACACACAGAGACTCACAGACACATACTCACATACATACACACAGAGACACACACTCAGACTCACACTCACATAGATACACACACACAGAGACACACACAGAGACACACACACACAGAAACTCACATGCATACACACATAGACATTCACAGACACACACTCACATACATACACACAGACACACACACACAGACACACACACACAGAGACTCACAGACACACACTCACATACATACACACAGACACACACACAGAGACTCACAGACACATACTCACATACATACACACGCAGAGACACACTCAGACTCACACTCACATAGATACACACACACAGAGACACACACACTCACATACATACACACAGAGACACTCACAGACACACTCACATACATACACACA